TATGTCTTAATTCACATTAATTTAAATAAATAAATTGTTATATACAGTATATGATGATAATAATGATAATAATAATAACAAATGTATTATATTATATATTTTTATGTTAATTATAATTAAGAAAAAAACATTTATGCAAATTAAGTTATTTTCTATACATATTGTATTGTTTGCAACAAAATTATAATATATAATAGTAGTATTTATTGTACACTAYATTAGTGATTAACCAGTAAATGATATCTTATTTTCAAATAATATAGTTAATAGTAGACATAATAATAAACATCACAACTGAAAAAATAAAGTAATTATTAKTCACACACTCACACACATACACACAAACATATATAYACATATAYACATACATCAGGGTTAAGCAAGGTTTTGGATTTTAGGGGGGTAGACCGGGGTAAAATAAAATTCTCATAGGGGGGGGGGGTATTGGGTGGGGTAAGATTTTTATTGCATTTTTAAACGGCAATTTTTTCAAAAATCCAAAATCAAGGGGGGGGGTCAGAAAATTCCCTAAAAATTCCTTAAGTTCCCGAATATTCCCATGTAAATTCAATAAAATTCCCACAAGTTCCCGTATAAATTCCCGGGAAAATAGGTAAAATTTCCAAAAATATAAAAAAAAACTTAAAAAACTTAAAAATTAACAAAAATTTAAATTTTAATAAAAAATAAATATTTTTTAAAAAATTTTTTTTAAATTAATAAAAACTTAAATTTTAACAAAAAAAATAAAATAATGTATTTAAGATTTAAAAATAGTTGATAAAAGCATTAATGATACACTATGAGTTATTTTTAGTATTTTAATAATTTTTAACAACATAATTAATTTTTTAAACAATACTTAATGTTTATAGTTTGTTATATATTTTTATTTTTATACAAATACTGACTGAATACTACATTTAACTCAAATTTCGTTAAAGTTTAATTATATTAAGTACACAATACATAAGTATTTATTGTTTTACACACACATATTTAAATTGTAATATGATTACACACAACGTTATTTTAACTATTTTTAATCAATAATTAGACACACACTAAAATATACACACAATTAAAATTTTTATACACACAAAAATTTTCGGCGCCTTCGGCGCCGAAATATACACACACAATTTGGTCAAAAAGTACACACACACCCCCCCCCCCCCCCCCCTACACACACATATACACACACATATACACACACATATACACACACATATACACACACATATACACACACATATACACACACATACACACAATATTTTAGGCCAAACATACATTAGAGTTTGGGTGGTTTCCCAATTAATAACACAACAACAACAACATAATATATATTATAATATATTATATAACAAAATGATTCATAAAAAGGGACTACCATTGCATAAATACCTGTATATATAGTATTGGGTACTATGTATTACAAAAGTAATATATATAAAATTGATGGGAAAACACGATACGGAAAGTGGTTTTACAAATCATTGTGTAAAAAACAGTTATGAAAAAAGTCATACAATTATATACTGATAGTTATAGATAGAGATATTATAAGACATTCATATACACAGTATATATACTGATATATATTTATATAGAGATTATAATATGTGATCCAAATCTCAGATAAATTAGACACACGTTGTGGTGAATCGTATCTCAAATGTTAATCTCAAACGAATGTTTAATTTCTTTTATTATTATTTTTTATTATATATTATTAAATAGTTTGCGAAATATTTATATATATACATAAATTTATGTATAAATATATATTAATAAAAAGTTTTTAAAAATTGTTTCACAACAAAAAAAAACTTTTGTTCCGCTATTTTTTCTCTCATAAATACTAATTACATTATATATGGTACAGTATTTAGTATATAAAATATTTTTATTTAAATAATAATTGTTTATATATATATACTGTATATTTTTTTGTTAAGTAAATCGTAATTTTGGGTTTGTTTTTTATAATAGTTATTTTTTCCATTACTTATTGAAAAAAAGTATATCTATCTGATTGCATCTGCACTTTGCAAACATTATTTCACAGTTTAATAAAAAAAATTTATTGGTATTAATAGATTTGGGTCTTTTTATTTGACCCCATAGTGAATATTATTAATAATAATAATAATACTGTATTAAAAATTAGTATCATTATTATAATAGCAATTTTACTCCCAAATTAAACAATTTTGATTGCACTCTCTCTCTACCTCCAAAAAACATGTTTTTTGATTATATAAATATTTTTTTGTAGCAGTTGTTAGGGCTATAATTTAGATTAATTTTGAAACTAAAAAAAATAAATATATATTATATTAATATATACTGTATATATATACAAACTCACAATATTATAACAAGTCTCTCAATCAAAATAAAAAAAATATATTTATATATTATTTAATATGTTAAAAAAGTTATTTGCGAGTCTAAAATTAACTCTGAAAACTAAATAAATAAAAATTAAATGCCATTTATTTTCTACTGTTGGTTGTATATTACATACCATTTCAAAAACCCTATATTTATTGCTATATATATTATTATTATTATAGTTAATATGATTTGTGTTTATTTTCATTTAAAATAATGGACACACATATAAATAATATCTAAATAATATATWTTTTTAAAAAGTACTGTTTAATGTTTTATTTATTATATTAAAATATAGTACCGAAACTTTTTGTTTTGTTTTTTAAAAACATAAAAAATATTTTATTAAATTATTTAATATAAAATAATATTTCAGAACAAGTCGTGTGTCTAATAAATTATTAATATATGTATAACATTAAAAAATAATTTAATTAAAATTATCATTAAATTATTTTCAACTAAATTATTAAAACCTATATTAGGCAACATATGATTAGGGAAATTAAAATTGCAAATTTAACTATAGTTTTACTACTATTTTTTTAGACAATAATATTGCAATTATTATTATATAATGTTTATAATGCTATTTTAATTGTATAGAAAATTCTTGTAAATGATAATAAATATTATAATTTTTCCTCAAAAAATAATAGTAGTAATAATAGCTTATACCATATATTTTCAGGTTATAGTTGTCTTAAAAATTAGTAACAATATATCACACCTCATGGGATGCAATTAAAGTTCAGTTATTTTATTAAAAAATTATTATTACTATTACTACTAAATATAACAAACATTTCTTTTTATTTTGTTTCTCTCATTTAGACAATTAGTTAGTGATTATTGTGTTGTACTGTATTTCGCAAAAATAAAAAATAATAATAAATAAATAAAAATTATTTATCTTTGAGAATTTTTGGAAAATTTAAATAATTAATGTGAAATATTTAGTCAATTATAATATTTTACTACTATTTATATAACAATTAAAATATGATAAAAATAGATTACTTTTTTTTGTAAGACATTTTTATTTTTGCAAATTACTTTAAAAAAGTAAAATTAAATATAAAAAAATTTAAACAAGATAAAAAAATTATTTAAATTAATTTTATTATAATGAATTTTAATTGCTTACAAAAAAACATTAAAAAATTTCATGTGTAAATACCCTAATAGGTTAGTTCATGGGTCAGTTAGATTAATGACATCTAACCATAATTTCCTTTAGCCATAAATTATATCACATGAGTAGACACTATGACAATGTTTATTGAATGTGTTTATAAATTTATTTTCTGTTATATAAAATTATAAATAAATGCTTTTAATAACTATTAATAACTATTAAAATAAATTATGTGTTAATTAATGTATGCAATAATCAGTCTCTCTCTCTCTCTCTCTCTCTCTCTCTCTCTCTCTCTCTCTCTCTCTCTCTCTCTCTCTCTCTCTCTCTCTCTCTCTCTCTCTCTCTCTCTCTCTCTCTCTCTCTCTCTCTCTCTTACTGACTGACTGACTATCTTATTCACCCACACTATACTACTAGTGCCACTAATAATGCRCTTAATAAGTATTTCATTGAGTAAATGTCATCAAAATTTTACGCTAAACTGATTTAATAACGGAATCTCCGAAAAACTATAAAAAAAGCTCAAAAATATATTATTTGAAATGAACTCAAAAAACAACTCTAATTACTGTCGACTGACTTCTCAAATAAGTGTTTTATAAATAAAAATAATTCAATCATTTTAGCAAATGTGAGTGAGTGAGTGAGTGATTATATAATACTATATATAAATTACTCATTGACTAACAGTCTCTCTCTYTCTCTCTCTCTCTCTCTCTTGCTGCCTGATTGCTACCCCCGCCCCCCCCCCTAAAATATATGAAATGTATGACAGTAGGTATGGTTTTTTCTGTACATATGTAAGAAAAAGTGGCGCAAAACTAGTCAAGACATAGAGTCMTCTATGAAAGTGGAGCACACCGTCATAATATTCTAACGGTGCGCTCATATACTTGTATATACACACACACACACACACACACACACACACACACACACACTCACTCACACAACACTTACTCACTCTCAATATAACTGGAAAAATATGAATTGAAAAGCATTTCAATGATTGCAAGCCTTTCTCAGTTGATATCCATTCGCCGATGAATTAACATTACATTAAGTTTTTTAACTAAAAGACAGTAATGACTGACTGTTGTCTCGGCTTAATGTTTTGAAAAGTTTTGCTAATATATTGTTTGTCTCCAAAAAAGCTAAAGTTTTATCTTTTTGTTGTTATCTTTATATTTTATTGTTTGTTTGTTTGTTGCATACATATATTGATGTGTGACTTATGATTTAAAAAAAAAAATATTATGTATTGATTTTTGTTGAATATAAAATGTGATTTTTTTTAAATTTAACAATTAGTATTAATTATATATTATTTTTGTAGAATTTTTTATTGTTGATAAAAATATATATTTTTGATATATAAAAAAGATTAAAAAAGATTAATCTTTTATTTATTACTTAATCTTTAATATATATATTTAAGCATTTAAAACAAATAGTCATGAATTTAATAATACTCGTAACGACACTACTATTAAGTTTGTGGCAAACTTACAATTATGTCAATTGTAACAATCATTTATCATATATTCAACACATCAATCACACCGCACAGCCCTCACAAACGTCCGGTGCCGCACAGGCACCGAGTTTTGCCAAATCTTATCCATCAAAATTAGGTAAATAAATATTATTATTTTTTATTTCAATGACTTTTTTTCTATTGAGATTGAATAGAAATGTTAATATATATATAAATGCATATTTTAATATAAATATAATGTACATATATATACAGTAAATTCTGTATTTATTTTTCAATATATGTTATATATATATATTTGTAGAAATTCTTTATTTTTGTTGTTTTATTTGTTTGCAAATATTTTTCTTTAAGTTTTTGTTTGTTATTTTTATTTATTTTTATTTACTCTACTTAACCATACATAAAATATTTCATTTAATTTTTATAACATTTATATTATATTGTATGTGTTATATAAACTACAGTATACTTTATATAAAGTATTTTATATACCATAATATATTCAAAATAATATAAAAAGTAACAAAAAATTATTATTACATAAACAGCGTGCAATAAATTTAGTTTTTTCATTTGTTTTAATTATAAATATATAATTTTTGAAAAAAATTAAATTAAATACAATGTTATACATTTTAGTTGTCATATATTAGACTCAATCCGTTAAAATAGCTGTCAAAAAACCATTTAGAGATTTAACAGTTTTAATATTTAAAATATATATATTTTTATTATTTATACTATATTTCAAATATTCTTTTTTATAAAAATATTAAATTTATATAAATATATTATATTTTGCAAGAATATTGTTATTACATTGAATTTTTATGACAACACTTTTCAATTAACTTATTATTTTTATTTTTTGTTTTGTTTTGTTTGTTTGCACTCAATATTATTAATATATTTATAATAAATTCATACAATAATATCTAATGAAAATATGGATTTATTATTATTATTATTTTATATATAAACTGTTGAAAAATACTTGATAATAACATTGTAATACAAACAGAGATTATAAATTATTAATATATAAATCATAACAAACATTCATAATATTTTAGTATTTTTTATTATTATTATTAACATTCATAGCAAATAACTATATCTTTATTATTATAATAATTATTATATTATGGATATATTTATTCCGTAAAAAAACATTTAAATATAAACAAATATATACATACCGTAGAGTATAAATGTAAATATATTATAACTGTTGTATAATCTCTTGTATAATAAGTGTTATTGAAATTAATTAACTGTTTATATCTCCCAAAAAAAGACAAACTAAAACAACTGTCTCTTTATTATTATTATTATTATTATTATTCTTAAGGTGAACCACAAGAATCAATCATAGGATTAGATAACATACAGTTGCCTCACTTCATGGATCCGATGGATGGCCTCAATCTTGTCGAGCACGTGGAGACACTGCCCAATTGGGGAACGTTTGGTCACGAACCGAAACAACAGGTACTAATCAAACCGCCGCCACAATTGCTATCGGTTCCAGTGGCCAGAGATATCCTATTTTCGTCGGACGGCAAATACGTACCCTTTGATATCGACCACAAAAATATTTACCGCCATTATCTACGATCCGATTTGTATCTACTGGACTGTCAAAGTTATGCCGACAAACCCGAAACACCGGCCATTATGATGGAAGACTTGCACGAGGCGTTCCGTTACGCCGATTCGGCCGTCCAATGGTATTCACAGACTATACAATCGGCTTCGGCCGGATCAACAACAATGGACCGATACGGTCGCCGACGTCCAGCAAAGTCTCCAACACTGCCCAATGGTGTACTGCCGGCTAAATTTTTGGAGTATACCTCCCAGTTCTTGTTGTCCAAGTGAGTCATATATTTTATTAATAATATATATATATATATATAAATATTTAATAATAAATACAATATTTTTTTATCTATACAATAGAATCTATTGAATAGATATTATTTTTAAAAAATGATCATTTATTTTAATAAATAGTTAGTCTATTAAACAAATTAATTGCTTTGAAAAATGTTTTCTATAAATGTATTGAGTTTAGTATAGCATAAAGAGAGAAACAAAAAAGTTCATTACTACTCATTAAGTAATCTATGGTTAAAAGTATAGTAAGTTTTTTTAAAAAAAAAGTGTGTGTGTGTTATGTTTGGGTGAGTAATGATTGATATATTAATTTTGAGACAATTGTCTCTCAATGACCTAATTAGCTTAAATAAAAACCAATACTCGCAACACACACACAAGTATATTCACAAATCATATTTCATATAAAATTGAAATTTTTTAAAATACAAAAAATAAAATAATTGTGAGCTTTTAAAATCACATGCAATTATTAAGTAATACAAGTGCTATAGTACAGTAATAATTTTTTTATGATAATAAATATTACTTAAAACGGTATATCTATTGATGTGGGGGACAGGGCTTTATATATATACTGTATATATATATATATATATATATATAGAAAAAGATTTCCTTTAGGATAACGAAAACAATAAAAAATAAAAAGTATTATTATTTTTTTATTTGTTTTATAGATATTTGTGTGGTAGGTATGGTGTGGTGTAATGTGTTGTGTTATGATATAGTTTTTGTTTGTTTGTTTGTTATACACATTATTACCACATATCATATTTTTTAGTGTGTGTGTGTGAAAGTGTAGGTATTATATAACAATGTATATTATTAAAAAAACTACTGTATAATATTGTATATACTTTAAAATACAGTATAAATATAATATATACAATTGACTGCACCCTTGAAAATATTCCCAATTTTACTTTCATTATTATAATTCACTTTTATATATTATATTCAAATATTAAATATAATTTTTATTGTTATTATTGTATAATATTTTTTTGATTGAATAATAAAATTTTATTATTTTTTTATTAAACCCCTACACACACACACATACATTATTACATAACAATATTCACATTAATARCCGTAATATTAATAAATAAACTAATGATTTATTAACAATCAATTTTTTTGAAATATATTGAATTTTTGTTGTTATTAAAAATCTACATTTATCTATGACTTAGATCTTTATATATATATATTGTATAATATATAGTTTAATGTTAGTTGATATATAAAATAAATTTTTGACAAACCATTAGTAAAAATGTAAATTAATTTTTTTTTATTAAATAAGATCAGTATTTAAAAAAAAATAACTGTTTATATTTAAAGAGTCACAAACTAAATGAGATTATATACAGTATATGATGTGTGATACGTCTATCTCATTAAAAAAAATCATTACTAAATTTAAAATAAGTTTACTATGTTTTGAGTTTATTTGCAAAAAAAACTTGATGTCATTGCCGTTATATATTATATATATATATGTGTTGTGTTTTACATTTAATATAAAACTAAAGTATTTCATCAAATAAAACAAAGTTTAAATAATATATTTATATATGAATTGAGATGAATTATCCAAACACCGGGTACCACATATCTCATGCAATTATTTATATTATTTTATTTTTTTTCAAGTTATATACATGTAATTAAAGTCCAGATAATTAGACTAATCTATGTTTTTAATTGAAATTAATTAAAACAGAGTAAAGAAAATATTTTGCAGATTTTTTTTAAATAAAATTTTATACAACAAAATATTTACTGTTATATTTCAGATATACTTTTTTGATATTAATTATTTGAAAAAAAATTTAGATATATTTTACTCTTTAATTTTGTTATCCAAATATGTGGTTTGTTTTTAATGCTATGTTTTTATGAAAGGAAATATGATTTTATTAAGTGATATCAGTATATTTTATTAATATATGTTTTAAGTAATCTTTAAATTAAATTACTTTTTTGAGATAATTTTATATATAACAGGAATTGAAAGTAAAATTTTTAAAGTAAAATATAAAATATTTTATAATAGATAGTGAAAGTAATTTATTAGAAAATATGTATATTAATAAAAAAATATTGTAATAAATAATTACATTTTTTTGGTTTTATTAGCAATTTTGTTTTTGTTATTTTAATAAATTTTATTTATATAGTGCATAGGTTATGTATTTTTTTTATTTAAAAAAAATTATATTTATATTTAAATGCACCCATTTTTATGGGAGCCAATCCTCCCATAGAAAAAAAATAAAATTCATTAATTATATAATTATAATAATTTTCAAATATTTCATAGACCGTACATGTGTTTGTGTTATAAAAATAAAACCAAAAATTAATAATTTTTTCAAACACACAACTTTCACCATAAATATWATWTATATATAWTATATATATATAATTTAGTTTATATACTATTATATATTTATATGATTAATTGTAAGTGTTAAACAAATTTAGATACATTGTTGTTTTATTTAATGTATGTAATTTTTTAATTGATTTTTTTAATCGCTTAACAATGAGAAATCTAGATTAGGAAACATTTTTAATTAAACAACAAAAATTAATTTCCGATATCTTTTAATGTGTATCATAAACTGTATATTTTATACTATAATAAACTAAATAATAATATTATTTTTTGTTGTTGTTGATATTATTAGATATTTTTCATACAAAAAAAACTTAAATAATACAAAAAGGGTTACATTTGTGCATGTTTTGCAAAATTAAACTATTTTTTTTGATCAATCATTAATTTAGATAATCATATTAAACGCTATAAAATGCATTTTAAGATAATTGTTAATTCAGTTTAGAAAAAATTACATTTAATTTATTAGGACATTACACACACACACACACACACACACACACACACACACACACACACACACACACACACACACACACACACATACATACATACATACATACATACATACACACACTTGACTTATATATTGATTTATTTGTGTATCTTTTATGTATAAATATTGTATATATAATAATAATAATATTAAATTGGGGTTTCATTAGTTGGCGGCACTGTTACTAAAAATATCAAATATATATTTAAATATACAGTATATTTGGTGCAACAATTAAAATTGTTAAATGCAATTACCATCAATGTTTAATATAATTAAAAAAATGTGTGCATCTATTTTTGATAGGGCTATGAAAGCAAAAGCTATTTATTGTGTGTGTGTGTGTTGTCTCTAAATATAGATATATATAGAAAATATGAATTACTTTTTATCGATAACTGATTTAATAACATTATTATATTATATTGTAATACTTTGACAAAAAAATATAATAACATATAATTATTGTTAATTAAATCACATTTAAAAAAATCATCGGTGAGTTGAGTTTTTTGTTAATTCAAACTAATTAATGCTGTTAACTAACATTAAAAACTGATAACAAAAATATCTATAATATCATAAAAAAATATTTTATTATTTATTATTATTATGAAAATTATATGAATCAGATGAGGAAGTTATGTATTGAATATTTCATTTTCAAAATCACTTACACTATTACTTAACTATATTATTGTTAAATATAATATTTTGGATGTTTAGTAAAATGTGTTTTTTAGTTATCATATGTATTACAGTTATCATTACATAACACACGTGAGACTAATATATAATACTGTATTATTTATTATTTAAAAAACATAGAGAAACTGTATTTTAATTTATTTATTTATCACTAGATATTGGCAAAAGTGTTGAAAATGTAATTTTTCATTATATTATTAAGTGCTCTCTCTCTCTCTCTCTCTCTCTCTCTCTCTCTCTCTCTCTCTCTTATTCAAAGGTTTTTTAACCAATATCTTAGTAAAACTTTTATGTATTAAATTATAATTTATAAAAAGTATTATCTCTTAATAAATCCCTTTTAAAAAACACTTAAGATTTGGTTTTCATAGAAAAAAAATATATTTTATTATTTTATTTATATACCGTATATGAATTGTTATATATATATATATATATATATATATATATATATATATATATATATATATATATATATATATATACAGTATAATGTATATTTAAATTTATTTGTTTTTTAAATTTTATATTGTCGCTCTCAATAAGTTTTTATTGTTATTAGTATTATTTTAATCATCGTTATTATTATTATTATTATATTATATTAATATATGTATGTAAAACACTATTTTTTGTATAATTTAAAATTAGCATCATTTTATAGCTCACTATTTTTTATTGTTATTTTAATATTAAAAAAACATTCAATTTTTTTATTGTTTTATACTATTTTGTTGTTGTTTTTGTTATCTAATTATTTTAAAAATAAATATTCAGTCGATTACTTACATAATTATTTTGTCTGAAAGTCATAATGTTATTCAACTTAATGTTTTTTGCCGACAAATAATTACAAAATATTTTTTGTTGAAACTTATTTTTACATAATCTTAATGTCTTATATTTAAATTTAGATTTAGTTTTTTTACTATCACTTGACTCACATAACTTGTTGAATAAATAATGTATTTTTTTACAAAATACTTAAATATATAATGGCTTTTATAACTTATTAATATTGTTTATAAATTATAATATAACAAAAAAGGCATTTAATAAACATAATTACTGGATTTTGAAATTAATTTTTTAAGTCTAATTCAAATAATAAAATTAAGACATTAAACAAATATTAGTCACACAAAAAATTGTTACATTTTTTTCAGTAAACTATTAATTTTAATAAACATTTCCACACAAAACAAAAAATTAAACAAATTTGTATTAAAACCTCTTTATTGAAATGTCAAATCAATTCCGGTTTTATTTAAAAAAAACACAAATTATTTGTTTTTTATGGTTTGTTTGTCTAATAATAATATAAATAATGTAGAGTACAGTCAATTTAATTTATAAGTATTTCAATTTGAAATGACATTTATGTCAATTAAAATAAGATTTAAGTCGTGTAAAACTTATAATATAAATAATAATAATAAAAAGGAAAATCCCCAATAAATATGCAAATTTTTTTTATTACTAATATATTTATTAACTTTATTTAAAAATCTATTTATTAATACCAGAGTATTAATGCTATTATTATTATTATTTAAACACTTAGACTATATATAGTTAAAAGATTTGTAAAGCAAATCCCGGAAAAAAATTAATTGAAATTAAAAATTTTATTTTAAATATTAGTAGTATATTTGTATATTAATGTTATCATTAGATATTAAAAACTACATTATAAACAATAAAACCATTTATAGATAGATAAGCCAAAATAAACATATAATAGGTTTGGTTTTAATGGTTTATTTTTTTTATTTGAATTGCTTTTTATGATTTAATTATTTTATATAAAAAAAATTATGGTCAAAATTTAGTGACTATAATACACTAGTAAATAAAAAAGGGCTTTAATTTAGTTTTTATTATTTTATTGAAATTATCTAGATTATAATTAAATACATATTTTATTGTTAATAATATTTTTTCAAAAGATATATATATATTATATGTATATATTAAATATGGATTACATAATTTATTATGTAATTACATACTTATTTAACATTTTTAAAAATTATGTGTTTTTGTTGTTTACTATTTGTATTTATGAGTGAAGAGATTTTTTGTGCTATACAACAAAAATAATAATAATAATATTTAAATTATTTTAACCCTTAATATTATATAATACTATATAATAAAAATGTTTGCAAAAAAATCAAAAAATAAAATAAATAAATATAAATTATTTAATTGTATAAGCAGTTTGTTTGTAATGATATTATAATGAAAGAGAGAGAGACAATACAATAGATAATCTGCTTTTACTTTCAATAATAAAAACATAATAATAATAATGTATAACAACATCAATGTTTACAAAAAATTATTTATTTTTTTAATAAATTTTAAATACATATAGCTTTTTACAGTAAAAGTCTGGGTGAAAGTCAAGTATAAACTAACAATTAGTTTATATATAATATTATCCTCTATTATCTCAATTATTACTTGAATTAAATGCCTAAAAAACATAATAATAATGTGTTATTTTATTTTGTGATAACACAATTACATTTTAGGTGATTATATTAGTAAAAATGTTGTGAATTATTTTAAAACGATTATATAAAAAATATAATAATAATAATAACGACAAACATTGTATGAGTTTTTTTAATGAACAAAAAATACTATATATACAGTATATACAGGTATATACAATAAGGTATATACAGTATGTATATATAATTTGATTGCAATTTGATTATTATTATATCAAAAACAATAACAAAATTAATGAGATTTTTGGACCTAATTTTTTTGGTGTGTTAAACGGTTAACACTATTGTAAACGGAAAAAAATTATAAAATATTAAAAATTTGGTAGCAATTATCTATATTAAATAGTGGGTGAGTGTGTGTGTGTGTTTGTGTTAGTGATACTGATATTATAAAAAAATATATTATTAATTATAATTTGTTTTTAATTAATTTAATCTAAATTAYATATCGTTAAATGTTTGCTTTCTAATATAATAGATAATAGTAAATGTAATATTAATAATAATAATATGATAATTCATATAATAGGTGTTTAGCATAAAATTCAAATATATTATTGCTATTGTTTTTTTCTCATTTTTATAATAAAACGTTTTATTATAAATTATTAAATGTGCTGACAAAATGATTATTTGGTTTATAAACATATATAGATTATAACAATAGCATATTTAATGATATTTAAATCAGTAGTGATGTAAACATTTGGAAAAAAAATTATTTAATAAATTTAATTTTAATATGAGTTTAAATTGTAATTTTGAAAATAATGCAAATTTTTATAATCTAATTAAAATAATAATAATAATAATATCTATTGCACTTACAATAGTTTAAAAGCAATTGAATACGCTATTAATAGACACTAATTGTTATATATAAAAAAAATACAAATAATTTTTTATAATTATATTTCAACGGAGAAAATAAAACACACTATAAAACAATAAAACAATTATTTTATTCAATTATAAATTATAAAACAATAAAACTATTTTTAAAAAATATTATTATTATTATTAACCAAAAAAATATAGGAAGTGCATCAGTAAATATGATGCGTCGGCACTGTTACCCAAAATAGACGTCCAAAAAGTGCTGCTCCAGCGCTACCGCAATAACGACTGTTCGAGTGCCGTAATGTTGGCCTGCGATCCGAACGCCCGGTTCCGTACAATAGACGGTTCGTGCAATAATCTACGCAACCAAAACTGGGCCCGAGCTAACTCATGCCACCGACGGCTACTGCCGCCCGACTACGCCGACGGTATCGAAGTACCGCGTGTAGCCCACGACGGCTCTGACCTCCCAAATGTACGATTACTATCCAATCATTTGTTACCCGACATTCCCATTGCCGACAACAAACTGACATCGATGACCATGGCTTTCGGCCAGTTTATTGTACACGACATTGCCCGTACGGCACCGTTTCCTGGAGAAATACAGTGCTGTCCCGGTGCTCAAGCTAGACATCCCGAATGTATACCCATAGAACCGTTACACCATGATGACTTTCTATTCCAGGCCTACAATCAGACCTGTATCAATTTGGTCCGATCCACTATTTGCAATCCATGCAGCTTAGGTATGTACTCATTCATTCATATTATATTATACTACTTTTAATTAATATACAGTATTAGATATGCATGTTTTTTATATATTTATAAAAAAATAATTTATAGCTAATTGTGCTCAATGTTTACATCATCATATAATTAGTTTAATATAATAATTATAAAATTATTATATTTTTCAAAAATTTTTGTTCAAATTATATGCACACTTAGACATTAAAATTTATATTTTTCTCGTTGTTGTTATTAATTCAATTAAATGACTCTAATTTGAAGTGAAATTAGTTCATAATATTTACTAACATATCATATTATAGTAATTAATTTAATAATAATAATAAAAAGTAAGTCATATGCAAACTGTTTTTTATTAATAATAATAATAATCCTTATATACTGTCCTATCCTAATAAAAAATATTATCCACCCTTTCCTTTTGTATGACCACAACATATAACAGTTTACTCTAAATAAAAAATATATGTTGTGTAATATTAATAAAGAAAAAAAGATATATTTTTACCACAAAATATTTATATTAATAATAATAAATAATTATTATTAATTAACTCTATATATCTATATAATATATACTGTAAGAGCACTGGTATTATTGGGGACCGACTCGGCGCCTATCCCTACCTCTCTTAACTTTCCATTAACTTTCATTGTTTTTTGTTGTTTCAATAAGTAAACTAAATTGAATTATATATTAAATATTTATATATAAATATGAGAATTGTATGTCTTATTTAATAATAATATTTCATTAATTTTTATAAAAATAAACAAATTGTTTGAAACAATAGATAGAGAGAGAGAAAAAAAACTTCACATTTGTTTGAGGTATGAAAAAACAACATAAAACAAACTAATTTAATGTTATTTATTGTGTAATAAAATCCGAAAATTTTCACTTAATTTCCCCATAAATTTTCAAAAAAAATCAAAATTAAAATAAAAACTCACGCTTTGCTCTGGTATTATGTTATAGTGAGTRAGTGAGTGTGAGAGCACAGGTATGCAGATTTTAGGATTAAGCCTTCAATACCAGTGACTTTACATAGAGAGAGACCCACACCCATACCATACAGTTAGTTATATGATATATAACTGTTTTAATATTCAACTTTAAAAAAACAATAACAACAAGAAAAATGATTTTTTTATTGATAGCTCATTAAAAATTTTCAATGATATTACATACAGTTTATGCCTAATTTAATATAAAATTGTATAAAATATAGTGTATTTAATAACACAATAATTTTTATTGAAGTGTTATGTAATCTTACAAATGATTTATCAAATTAGACACTTATTAGGGATAAATATATCGACATATAAATCATTAAAAACTTAAGTATACAATGTATAGTGTATTATGTATTTTTTATGTGTGATATAATTGTGGCAAATATTTTTTTCTCATTGCATTACATAATACTGTACATGTACAGTATATAAGTTATATACATTTTTTTGTTTACTTAAAACTACATTTTTTTGCATTATTATTATATCTATACAAACATATCATTCATTAAAACTCATTATATTATTCATTCAATTGAATTCATAAGTTATAATAATTATATATGAAATTATTATAACAGATATATAATTTATTGGGGAAAAAACAAAAAAATATTTACTTATGAATAGTTTATATGTGACACACTATTATTGACTCCTAAATTATTATGAGTTTTTTTACACACACACACACACCAAAAAAAATATTGTTATATAATAATTACTATTTATTATATTTTATGTATTTAATATTAAATATATAATATACTGATTGTAAATGTATAATTGAGTAAAATAATATATTTCATGAAATTAATTATCATTACTATTATAATATTTATTTTTTTCCTTTCACATTGTGTTTGTGTGTGTTTTTTTAATAAATCATTTTTCACTAAGTTTTTACTTTTTTTCATATAAAATATATATTATTAAGTTTTCAAAAAAATAATTGTTTGTTTTATACACTTTTGATTTTATCAAATGGTTTTTCTTAAGATAATTATTTTTAATACAAATTTGCCTCATTTTTCATTCACTCAATAAATCTATTTAATTTTATTTATTTGTTTTTATTTTATTTACTTATTGTATTTTATTTATATATATATATATATATATATATATTATAACTATTTATGTGATGAACTGATTTTTTGGGAGACAATAATATTAAACGAAATAAATATTTTATTTTTGAATCCTTTTATGGTTTTTAAAGTTAGTTAAGAAATATTTTCTATTCAAATATAATGTTTTTAAATTTTTGTTTTATTAAATATATAATATTATTTTTGTCGATATTTTTATTTTATTATTATTACTATTATTAATGTTATTATCTATTTCATTGAGGAATATATAAAAAAATAAAAATAAATTTAAAAATAAAAATTATAAAAAGTCTTTACAACATAACAAATGACTAAAATGAATAGTAGTAAAAACTAATAATAATAATAATAATAAAAATTAATAAAAATAAAAGTAATAAAACTAATAAAAAAAATAAATTTTAAATACAGTAAACTAATATAAATCAATAGCGATATTTTTTTTGAATACAAAATGCTATTTGTTTCGCATGACATACATGTATGTAATACAGTATATGCATATTATTGTATATATTTATGTATATATACTGTATATATGTATTTATAACGACACATACACTTACACTATACAAGTGAGACTTATTATATAGTATTATCACCTAAATTAAGATCAATCACACCTTTTTCGCTCATTAATCATAAGATGATTTCAATTTTAAGCTATCATTTAAGCCACTAATATCTGACAAATATACCATTAATATTATATACAGTATTATTATTATTATTATTATGTTTGAAGACAATTACAGAGACATATTATATAAAAATGAAAAAAACAACTCATTTTTGCATATGAATTATATCTACACTATTAAATAGATATGAATAATAAAATAATAATAATAATAAATTATAAAATACAAAACAAACATAAATAAAAAATTTTAAATAAATTTAATTACATTCCTTTATGTTATGCAATATTATGTAATTATTTTTTTAATAATTTATATATTCTTTGTATTACTAATTTTTTTCTTTATTTAAAAATTTTAATTAATTACTATATATTTTATTTTTTGTTTTATTTTTATGAAAATCCAGGACCACGTGAACAGCAAAATCAAGCGACACAAGTGTTTGATATGTCACAGATATACGGTCTCAATGCCAATGAATCGTTTCAATTGAGACAATTGGAGGGAGGTTAGTATATATRTATTTATTGATACATACATGAGCCACATGATAAATATAAATAAATAAATGCATACATAAAAAATACTGGCAGTTATTATATATTATTGATAATTTTCCGGTTCACTATTATATAATAATAATTAAGATTTTAATAATATACTGTATATATATAATGTATTGTCTAAATAACTAGTGTGATAATTATACTGTTTAAACTGTTAAGTACTATATATATTAGTGTCTAAAGTTAGTAGCAATTGTTAATTGTTGTAAATATATAAATATTTTTATTGTTTGTTTGTTTGTTTGTTTTTGTTAATAATTATATAAATTTTTGAACATTTAAAAAATATTATATACAGTAGTAGGTAACACCTCCAGTTTAATAATAATACTAATATTTTTATTGTTTTTTTTACTATGTTTATCATTATTATTAATTATCAATATTTTATGATTAATGGATACATTTATCCAAATACAGTATATATATTATATATATTATAGTTTATATCCAAAAACGGTTAGTGGAGTTCATGATAGATGCTATCGAGAAATATATAATTATAAGATATGGGTATTATAGTAATTATTATTATTATAAAAATTATAATTAATAGTTTAAATATTAAGTGTTGAAAATATATATAAGTTTAAGTAAAAGTTTACACTTTTATTTTCTGTGAAATTACAATGAAAATTAACAACATTTATATTTATCTTTATTTTGAACCAAAAAAAAACTGAAAGATTTGTTTATTAATACTAATAATTATTAGTTTTTTTAGTTAAAGTTTTGTTTTTCATTTATTAGAGATTTTACTGTTTTTTCTTTTTTAAAAAAATAATAATACATTTTATCAGTTAATTAGTTTTTCAAACAGTTTTTATGGTGTTTTGGGCGATAATTTGTTATTCACGACACAAAACATATAACATTTATTTAATGTTTTTGGTAATAATTGTGCTAATATTGTCATCATTTTTTGGTTTAATTATCATAAATAATAAGTATATAATAAACATATGTTTTTAAACCCGATCTAAAAATATATTATATTTATTTGTTTATAAAATTCATTTAACATATTTATGAATTTTAAAGTTTTAAACTAACAAACAAATAAACAAAAAGTTAAACCATATTTTATGTTTGCAACAAAAAAATGCTTTATTATCTAGAATTACATATATTTTTCTATTTAAATCATTTTACATGTATTATCTCTATATTAAAAAAAATATCCTAAAAAACATAAATTTTACAAATAGTTTTCCAACAACAATTTTATTAAGGAAACAATATATTTATTTTTACACTCAAAAAAATAAATAAAAAAATAATAGACAGTAATAAAGATAACAAAATATTATTATTATTATTTTTGTTGAGAAAACGTGATTTTCGAAAAAAAAACATTTAAATAAATAAATAATAAAAATTATAACAAATGCCGGGAGTTTTTATTAGATTATTATTTATAAATCAATTTTTTTATTTATACGGTTACTAACCCCTATACACCCGTTCCCTATCTTATTAAAAAATACATCTACAGGTAAATTGACTGTTATGTTGGACGCTCGCCAACGGGAAACCCTACCGCCAGCCCAAACAAATCCCGACTCTAGTTGTAATATGAGACCATCGGCTCCGAGATTCCGGTGTTTTCAGAGCGGTGACGGTATCCGAGCCTCACAACACCCGGCACTTCAGTCACTGCACGTAACGTTTCACAGACGCCATAATCGTCACGCCGAGGCACTGGCCTCTGTAAACCCCCATTGGGACGATGAACGCCTTTATCAGGAGTCCAGGTATGTGATATATGCAYCCATTATATATTGATAATAAGTACTGTTATAATTATATATATATWTWTATATATTTGATGTTTAATTTAGCGTAACTTTAATAAACAATAATTAACACTTAAAAAGTATAAAATGTCATTAACACCTATTTTTATATTGTCCTAAATATAAATATAATAATGTATATAAATTATATGATAGATAAATGATAGCTAAAGTGATTAATTAGTGATCAATAATTATTATTATTGTTTTTTTCTGATAGACTTAAAAATAAGTTTAAATTTATTATTATTTTAGTTAAGTTGAGTGACAACTTTCCTAATATGAGATAATAATTTTTTAGATTTTTATTTTTTTATAGTTTTTTTTTGATGCACAGATAAATTTTTGCCAATAGTTTTATTGGGGAGAAAAAATAATAATCAGCTAATAGGTTATAGATGTCAATTAAAAAATCGTTTTTAACTATTAAAGCATCACTTTTCAAATCTATCAATTTTTTATGAGTCTTATCCATACATCAAATCTTAAAGCCATAAAAATCCGATTTTTTCAGCTCCTCAGTGAAAATCCTATTTAATTTTATATTGATTTATATACAATATGTTATATAATTACTACAAAAAACTGCTGTTAATATATTAAGTACATTATATATATATATATATCTGTATATATAAATTGTATAATATAATAATAAACTGATTAATTTAAAATCCTAGCCATAACTGCATGTCTAATATGACTTTAAGCTATATTACAATTTACTTGAAAATCATTTTTAAAAAAATCTATTTATATACTGAATATTGAATTTATATGTAAGTTATAGTTACAATATATATATAATTATTTAATCTATATATTGGTTAATAAATTATTTTAGATTATTGAAGGCAAAGGGAAACCCTATTAATTAACTATTTTAAAAAATATATAAACTTATAAAATGTTTTAACGACAACAACGAAAAAATTAGTTCAAAAAATATATTAAAAATCATTTGCTTATCTAATAAAACTTAAAAACTATTCCCAAAATTTTTTTAGTTCAATATTTATTTATGTTAATTATAATAATTAAAAATATATATAATTATTTGAACAGAAATAAATTCAGTATTTATGTGTTGATTACTAAATAAGGTTTTTTTTAATTGTTAGGCAAACAGATTGCATTAAATTTTTGTTGTTGTATTAATAATTAATTAACTTATTATATATTAGATATAAATTATTGATTAATTATTACACATTTATTATTATTTTTCATTACACTTATAGACGACTATTGATTGCCGAAGAAAATGCTATCATTTATGGTGAATATTTGCCGGCAATTATGGGCAAAACATTGACCAAACACTTTGATCTGGACGTCCAGTACTCGGGTCACACCACATACGATCCGACTACCAATCCGTCCACTATTCAGGAGTACATTGTGGCCGCCGGCCGTTTTGGTCACTCGCAGATCAACGAAATGTTTAAAGTTTTATTGGGCGCCCAGTCCTACAGTTTTCTGCTAAGAGAAAACTTTTTCGAGCCCACGGCTGTCAGTTTGGGTCACGTGAGTATTTTCATACCTTTCCTCTCATATATATATTATATATATATATACAGTATATGACATACTTTTCACTCAAATAAATCTATAGTTATTTATAAATACTTTATATATACTTATATATATATATATATAACATTTATATTGATTTTTATATGGTTTGAGGCATACAATTGATATCTTTTTTTTATTGATATTATTATTTATTAATTCATTTGATTGACTGACTTATGGTTTTGTTTTATTTTTAATTTTTCCCATCTGTATGTATGTATGTATAGACTGGAGGCATATTGAAAGGTCTGGTCTCAGACCCGACGGCATCGATGGACCCGTTTTTTACGGGTGACGTCAAAAACTTTCTCTACAAAAGTCGGACAGAAAACTTTGGCAGAGATTTGCCGGCGTTTAACATACAGAGAGGCAGAGATCACGGAGTTCCCGGTTATGCCTATTATCTTGACTACTGTTTCGGGTAATTATTTATGTCGTCAATAAATTGCATATATATATATACAGTATATATTTTTTTGTTGAGAAAATAAATTTAACATTAATTGCTCTCTTAATTTATAGCATTAATTGCTTAAATAAATATGATATATAAATAGTACTGAAATTATTATTATTTTCTGCCTTATGTATGAAAGAGAGAGAGAGAGAGAGAGAGAGAGAGAGAGAGAGAGAGAGAGCAATAATAATAAAAAATAAGTTAAAAATAATTTTTTAAAAATTATAAAATTAATTAAATAATAGATACTCTTCTTATTCTTCTCAGTTAATAAAACAATTAAAAAAATATATAATAAAATAAAAAGATAGATAAAATATATTTATATCAATAATAATAATAAAAATAGCTTTAATAATAAATATATTTTTTATAATAATATAAATATAATTTTTTTAAACAATAGTTTTAAAGTAAAATCCTGGAATGATTTGCTGACATTTATACCGAAAAAACAATTGAAGAAAATCCAGACATTTTATAAGTGAGTACCGATTAAATAAAGTATTTGTTTTTTTGTTGATTGATTTGATTTTATATTTAGTAACATATCATTGTTAACATATGATTATTATTATATTAATTTTTTTTATAAAATTAAATATAATTAAAATAAAATAAAAAATCACAATTGCACACACATTTATTATACACCCAATTATATATAATTTGTGTTTTTGATATCAAACCCATCAATCACAAGATTAAATTTTAGTATTATTTAAAATATCAATTATTTTCTAAATTTAATTTTTTCAAAAAAATAAAATAATCTAATCTATTGTTATTTTTTTCTCGGGTGAATATTTTTTATATATATATATATATTAACACCCAATTCCCAGACACTGGCGAGACATTGATTTATTTGTCGGCGGAGTATCCGAGCGCCGGATATCGGACGCCGCATTTGGGCCGACATTTGCCTGTATTAATGGCATTCAGTTTTATCATTTTAAGTTTGGCGATCGTTTCTACTTTGAGCACGGCTACCAACCCGGCTCATTTAGTCAAGGTAACTGAGCCCCCCTCACCCTCCCTTAATCTATAAAAAAATAACACTATTAATAATGCTTATGTATGTTTGTTTGTTATTTTGTTTGATTACCCAATAGCCCAATTGGATAACATCCGCAAGTCGGCCAGTCTGGCCAATATCATCTGTAAGACATCGATGGACGTCCACGCGATTCAGCCCAACGTGTTTTTCCACGCCTCGCCCCACAACCCGCTGATGCCGTGTCAGGCGTACCCCGAGATTGACTACTCGCTGTGGGCCGAGAGTCCATATCCAGCATCGTATCATTTATAATCAAAAATAAATAAATAATAATAATGTGCTATTATTCAAAATATAAATAATAGCTATTTATTGTTGATTTATAAATATATATATATATATATATTTTTTTTTTTAATTTGAAAACACAGTTATTGTTGATATTTTTAGTATATTTTTATTTTCTATATTTTTTTGAATCATTGATTGCATCAGATATTTCCCTCAAAATTATTTCATTGATTTTTTTTGTTTTGTTTTTTATTGTTGTTATTATATTTAAATTTTATTATTATTATTTTTTTAAACGATTAGTTCCTTATAATTTCCGATAGTTACCCATTCCCACACATATATATGTTTAAAAATATATGTTAAATATTTTTTTGTTTGTTAAAAAACGTTATTTTAGATAAAAAAGATACATTTCTTAACTATAGCTACAATACATAACAATCTATCTATACATTGAAAAAATAACAACAAATAAATAACACATAAATCAGTGAAAAAAAATCAAATTTATAAATCAAAACTCGTTTTCATTGCACTTATTATTTTTATAATAATATTTCCTATAAAAAAATAATATCCAAATCAACAACAAAACAATACACACACACAAAATTGTTATCAAATTTGATTTATATTTGTCCATATTTATGACAGATTTATTGTTATTTTTTTAATTATTATGATTATTATATGTTATGAGAGTGAGAAAAAAGTTATTTGTGTTTTTAATAGGCGTACAAACAAATAGTTTTTTTTGTTAATTTAAAGAAAAAAATTATTTAGTAGATAAAAAACGGAACAGATTTTTTTAAGAGAGAGAGAGAGAGAGAGAGAGAGAGAAAGAAAGATATATATCGTAAATAATTTATAGATATTTTATATAAACTAATAATTATATGTATTATTATTGTTATAATTAATATCGGTTTCGTATATCTTTTACTTATTTTGTTTTTTTTTCTAAATCAAACAATATTGTAATATATTAAACATAAACAAAATAATTATTTATATTTATACTGTATTAGTAAATAATATACAGATACAAAATTAGCGTATAATACGAGTTAACACTAGTTATGAGATAATTTTGATGGAAATTTAAAACAAGTTTATTTTGAATGACAATAACAACATAAATCTAAATTAATTTCAAACTTATATTTTATTTTTTGATATAAATTATGGTAAATATTATCTAATTTTGAGCTCATTTTTATGTCATTAGTTTATTTTTAAAAAATATATATATAACGACATATAGACAACATAAATATATATATATAAATTTGTAAATACATAATTATTATTTTATAAATATATATATACACATCAAATTAAAAACCATAAGTGCCGTAAAAATATATATATATATATATATATATATATATTTTTATATATAATTATTTGATTGCCAAAACTAATATAATTTTATTTTTATTATTATTATTTTATATTATAAATATTTTTTTGATATATTTGTATTAATATTATTTTTTATATATAATGTAATTAATGCTATAAATATATTTTTAATGTTGCTAAATATATATCATGTATTAAATCATTGATTTGCAACTAAATTATGTTTTTTWTTTAAAAAAATGTTTGCCAAAAACAGTGATTGTTATTATTGATTATAATAATTATTGATTAATTTAATTAATTATTAAAATTAACAACACGTATTATATAAATAGTTTGTTTGGTTGATAAACAAATTGATTAATAAAATAATAAAAACATAAATTTTCTAAAAAATTATTTGTATACAATTTTTTTTGCAGTGCATATATTATAATATATTTACTGCAATAAACTATAAATTTTAATTTATAAATATCATATAATTAGTATCCATATTAATGTTTTATAGCTTTAAAACATATTTTGATCCATTTTTTCTGAAAAAATTTAAATAAAAACTGTTTCATTACATCAAAATGTTTTTTTTATAGTTTTTTATTTTCAATAAATTATTTTATATTTATTGCAACTTTTCTATGTTATTAATAAATACTTTTAGTAACAATATATCATTTAAATGAATGATTGAAATTACCTATCACTTTTAGTGACATGAAATTATAATTAAAAGTGATTTTTAATTTAAAAACTATTATTATCAAGTAATTGGTTTAATTTATCAGAAATATTCAAAATAAATAGTTTTGCAAAAAAAATTGTTTGTCACGTTTAAAATATTTTCAATTTCTAATTATATACTCAAAAAATTTTTTAAAAAAGTATTTTACTTAAAATAATGTAATTCATATAAATTATTAAATAATTGGTAATATATAAAACATTAAATATTTTTAATCTCTATATAATTTAATGATATTATAAACATTTAATACATAGTTATCTATTTAATACATAATTATAATTTTTTTATAATAAATATATAATTATTAAATTATATGTCTACTGAATATTAAAAAAAAACAATATGTTATTAGGTCTTCAATCAATGAATATATCATTTATTATTTCTAGATAATAGACTATTTCCTTATAGTAGATTAATATATCAAAAAAATATATATATAATTCACATTTGTATTAAAAGTGCAGTCATATTGTATCATCGTATCAATTCAATAAATTACTGATATAATTATAATATTATTTTTATATAGTCTACTAAACTTTTGTTTCATACTCTGAAAAACATTGAAAATTATGTGGTTTTTAGTAATTTTTTTAAAAGAAAATACAATATATCTCTATAATTATTGCACAATGAGATGACAGGACTTATACATCAATTTGTATTAAAGTTAATACTTTTATTATAATTATATAAATTTTTGTATTATAAACTTTTATAATATTAAATATATATATATATATATATATATATATATTAATTATATATATACAATAATTATGTGTCAGAACTCTTTGTTAAATATTATTAAAAATACTAAATGATTTATATATTATAATTATTTAATTAAATTTTTAGTCAAAAAAAAGTTGATCAAAAATATGGTTAATTTACATTATTATTATTATTATTAAAATTAATTTTATTAATATTATATATGATATCATTATATTTTTTAAATATTGTAAAACTTTATTTCAATGATTCATATATGTAAACCACTAATAGTATGAAACTGATGACCATTAAAATGTAGATATGGACTGAAATGATTACCAAAAAAATAAATTATTTATAAAATTAGATTATTTTTTAAGATACAATTTACATATTAATTATAGTTATTATAATTAGCAGATTATCTTCAAGTTATAGCTACTACACACACATATATATATATATATTATATATACAGTATATAACGTTTATACATACCCGGGAAGCACATCCATGCTTTGTAAACATGACAATGAGTGACACAATTWCGCCAAACTGTTCATTAGTGAAATTGTTGAGCAAATTGTAGTCACAATGTTGTTCAGTCAATTCACGTCCAATACATTGCCGATAGTATATTAATTGGCAGCAAAATCTACGTTTTCCCACAATAGAGTCAATAACATGGTTACAGCCGTCCGATTGGTTATCGTAAGGAAGACAGTTGGCCGACACACTATTCCGGTCACAATAGTTAACGGCTGTGTCAACCATATCGGTAGCATTGGTGGTGGTGTTTGTGACCATCATAGGCATAATGATCACTAATGCAATCAACAATGAGTACAAGATCTTCATCTTTTTGTGGATGAAAGTGTGGATCAGATTGATGTCCAAATATCCCACGAAAACTATTACTATTGCTTTACTTTAGATCTGAAATGTTATCACTGATTCAAATTTATATATATATATATATATATATATAAATAAATATACAAATAATTTGTGCATGCTAATACTTTAATCACATGATTAAGTTATTAGTTTTTTTATTTTCAAGTTCAAAATTAATACATTTAATTATTATTAAATTATTTTTCCTAAAAATCTTATATTAAATTTGAGTCATTTTATTTTATTTATTTATTTCTTTTTATTAAAAGTACAGTTTCACAGTTTAATTATTAATTACATTTATAATATTTTTAGATATAGTAAGTCTATTTGTACTTTTAGTTATTAAAACTAATTATCTATTAATTAATATGTTTATACAAATATTTATAGTAGTAAAAGTACTAATTTTAACTAAATAAACATACAATATATTCAATAATATTTAAGAGTTTTTTTTAGTAAATCATTTATTAATAAAATGTTAAATGCATTAAAAAATTATGTAAAATATTTTGAAATATGACATTTAAAAAAATTACAATTGTATTATTTTAAATACAAATATATAAATTAACTTAAATTATATCATATATATTATATCTTAAACAACAAAACTACTTTAAAAAATTTCTAAATTTCCAAAAATATTAACAAAATAATTCAACAACAAAAAACAATTACAATAAAAATACAATAGTATTGCCACTAATTTMTCAATTAAAAGATCCGGTATGTATGCATATGACTGTGTGTGTGTAGGGGGAAGGGGTTGATTAGCAAATYATTGATACCCGACAACAGATCCTCGATAGGATTGTTGGCCACCAACACACCGATCGCCAATAAGACTGCTATCATCACCATCAATGTGGTCAATGTTGTAGTCATCGGTATATATGTTAGGAATATATCTAAACTATTAGCGGTTATTAGTTGTGTGTGTTTTGAATAATGATATCAATCGTTAATGTTTTAAAAATCATAAATTACAGTAGATTTGAATATACAGAATATTCTCTATAAAGTTTATATTACAGTATTATAAACTGATATATAATTTCAAAGTGTTTCAACGATAAGAAAAAACATTGACAATAATTTAAAAAAGTTTTTATATATTTATAAAACTTTAAAAATACTGGTATTAATTTCAATTGTATTAATTCAATTGTTTATCAAATTACTCTAATATTATTTTATATTTATTTTTTATTAGACATATTAGAAAAATTAGTCTCAGTTGAAAAAGTTAATAATTATTTATACAAAATACAATATAATGTTTATAAAAAAAAGATAATAATTAAAATAATATGATGTTATTGTATGATTTGTGTCAACAGTGAATTTATAAATTAATAAGAAAAATTAATATCAAATTTCATAGTATCATCAAAATAGTAATATTACTTATATTATTTAAATTTATTGTATTAACAAAAATCTATTCAGTATACTTTAATATTTAACATCAATTAGTTATAATAATTAATTAAATTATATTTTAGAAAAAAATTTACCCCTTAAATTTTAAATAAATAGCTAATAGTAATCAACTATTTTAATTATTAAAATTATACTAAAAGATATATATATATATATATTTCAATATTATTATTTTTAAAATTTAAAAGCTCTCAAATTTTGTAATAATATATTCAGTAAATTTAAATAATTTGATAATTGAAATCTAATATTATTGAAAATTATTGCAATACCTGTATATAATATAATGCATATTTTAAGTATAAAGTTTAATACTTTTGTCAATTAAATATTGAACATATAATTTGTTTATTAATCAATTTTTAAAAAAGTGTTTCAAATGTTTTAAATAATAACAATAGAATTGTTTGAATAAATTTTTAGTTACAATTAAAATATCGTAAGATTTAGAAAAATTAATTTTATTTGAATATTATTTTTGTCAAAAAAAACAAACAAAAAAAAACTTTGATCAGTGTTTGCAATGGCATTGGACTAGAAATTGGTAATAAACGCGAACATAATGGACATCAATGAGTGTAGATATCACTCGTGAATAGCAACTGATGAACGACCGGTACTTTTTAATGGCAATGATTTGATGTATTCCTCCTCTTTTAGAGACTATATCGTTGACTATAGAGAAGAATGACATCAAATCACGACTCGTATGCCATTAAAAAGCACCGATCGTTCATCAGTTGCTACTCACGAGTGATATCCACACTCATTGATGTCCATTATGTTCGCGTTTATTACCAATTTCTAGTCCAATGCCATTGCAAACACTGATCAAAGTTTTTATTTGTTTGTTTTTTTTTTGACAAAAAATATTCAAATAAAATTAATTTTTCTAAATCTTACGATATTTTAGTTCATCAGTTGTTATCATTCACACAGAGAGGGATGAGTAGCCATATATATATTGGGTACAAATCGAGAGAAGTGGAAAAAAATAACCAGAGATTTAGTATAAATTTATTTATAAATAATTTTCATAAAAACTGTTTAATAATAAAAAAAATCATTATTTGGACAGTATTTGAATATTTTTTATTTGTAAATAATAATAATAATAATAATTATAAAATTATCTATTTCTAGCTCTAGATGTACGGCACCAGTCATTGGATCCTATCGGCGGCGCCTATCGTTTTGATGACTACAATGCCGAGTGTTTTCAAAAATAATAATAACAAACAAATTGTTAAATATAGAAATTGTGATCTAAAACAAAAAAAAAGATAATTACATTGCGTTAATCAATGGTGAAGACATCTATAAATCAAAATTAATACATTAATTTTTTTGAGTGAATATACATATAAAAATTAATATTAATACTATTGGTAATTAATTTATTGATTAATATGAATAAAAATATTATTGTTATAAAATAACTTGGAATATATAGTAGTTTTAAATTACTGTAAATACATTTATACAAAAAACAAATTTTATTTACTTTATTAATAAATCAAATTATTATTTTATTGATACAAAATATTAATACTGTAGTATGAAAAGTAGTCAAAATTAACAGTGTTTTTATATTCACAAAAAAGTATATATTTCAAATAATAAAAAAACAATTAAAGTTTCATAACCAATCAATACAAAACTAATTTATAACTATATATACTATATATATTATTTATAGATAATATCTAATCTAATAGATATAATAGAGATATTAATATGTAATTGTATTAAAATTGTGATAATGAATGTATTAATTTGTTGATATTATTGATTATGATAATAGTTAAGAATATAATTTTTTTCTAAAAACAATTGTCTTATTATACACATTAATATATTAATACAGTATAATATTATACATAATACTAAACATAATAAATCAGAGATCAGCGCCGGTATGTAATAATTATATATCTAACGGTGCAGTTAAGTCGGCGTATAACTAGAATTAATGCCAGCAATTGATAGATGACGGAAATATTGACAGTGCCGTCGGCTGATTACTGTTTYTACGACACCAACCACTGCCACCATCACCTCTACGTCGATACTAATACAGAAAACAATAACAACCGATGGCCAGAATTAGTATCAGTAACAATACCGTCACAACAATGAACACATAGTCTGCGGGAAAAAACATAAATGATTTGAAAATAGTGGATACATATATTGGTTGGCATAATACMAGGTGTGCACATCCATGAACTTGTGCCGTACGATTTGCAGTCATAATTGCTTACTACAGATGTTTCCTTCACAAATAAGTCGAAAGCCTGGTTCACTTCATCAATGGTAATGCCGTTACACTTGAGGATTTCATTGACGAAACAGTGGCGTAACCGTTGTAATGAACAGCACACCTGTCGTTGCCGTCCAAACCAAACGGGAAATCGGATAATCTTTTTATAGAAATCGTATTCGCAATCGACTATTACTTTAGTTTTAATGTTCACACAATTCATGTAATCCAAAATGCTTGCGTTTTTCGTCATCACTGATACCAATGCAATGATGGCCAACAGTATGACCACCGATGATGATTGTCCACTGATTGTCATCATTTATGCCAATGATTGCACCAATTTATTAGTAAATCTGTCAACAGTTAGCTGTTAGTAGTTTTTTATTATTAGTTATAGTAGTTAACCTATTAATTAGTTATACAATGCTAATAATAATAATTACTATTGTAAAACTATTTTAACAATCAATTAATTTTAATTGTAAACCATATATCTTATAGTTTAATATTAATACAGTATTATTAGTACAAACACTCAACAATACGTCAACTTATGTTATAATATGACTCATAGTTAATATTAAATAAAATTTTATAAAAATTAATATTAATATTAATACTATCAGTAATTAATTTATTGATTAATATGAATAAAAATATTATTMTTATAAAATAACTTGGAATATATAGTAGTTTTAAATTACTGTAAATATATTTATACAAAAAAACAAAGTTTATTTACTTATTAATAAATCAAATTATTATTTTACAAAATATTAATACTGTAGTATGAAATGTAGTCAAAATTAATAGTGTTTTTATATTCACAAAAAAGTATATAGCTGTATTTCAAATAACAAAAAAACAATTAAAGTTTCATAACCAATCAATACAAAACTAATTTATAACTATATATATTATATATATTATTATATAATTGTATGAAAATTGCGATAACGAATGTATTAATTTGTTGATATTATTGGTTATGATAATAGTTTAGTAAATAATTTTTTTCTGAAAACAATTGTCTTATTATAATAATATATTATAATTTTTCTTATCTGATAAAAAAACATAATAAATCAGCGCCGGTATGTAATAATTATATATCTAACGGTGCAATTATGTCGGCGTATAACTAGAATTTTTGCAATTGAATTAATACCAGCAATCGATAAATCACGGAAACAATGGCGGTGCAGTCGGTTGATTAGTGTTTTTACGACACCAACCACTGCCACCACCTCTACGCCGATACCAATAGAGAAAACAATAGTAACAGGTGGCCAGCATTAGTATCAGTAGCCCGACCGCCACAATAATGAACACATAGCCTGCGGGAAAAATCAAATGATTTGAAAATAGTGTATACATATATTGGTTGGCATAATACCGGGCGCGCACATCCATGAACTTGTGCCGTACGATTTGCAATCATAATTGCTTACTAGAGCTACTCCCTTCACAACTACGTCGAAAACCTGGTTCACTTCCTCATCGGTGATGCCGTGGCACTTGTTGCCGAGTTCATTGACGACACAGTGGCGTAACCGTTGTAATGAACAGCACACCTGTCGTCGCCGCAGTTCATACCAATCGGACAATTGGCTCATATCTTTACGGAAATCTTTTCCGCAATTGGCTATTACTTTAGTTTTAATGACCCCACAATTCACGTAATCAAAAATGCTTGCGTTTGTCGTCATCACTGATACCAATGCAATGATGACCAACACTATGACCACCGATGATGACTGTACGCTGATTGTCATCATTGATGTCAGTTATTGCACCGATTAATTGATTAATTAGTAAATCTGTCAACAGTTAGCTGTTAATAGTTTTTTTTAATATTAGTAGTAGTTAACCTATTAATTAGTTATACAATGCTAATAATAATAATAATAATAATAATAATAATAATACTATTATAAAACTATTTTAACAATCAATTAATTTTAATTATAAACCATATATTCTATAGTTTAATATTAATACAGTATTATTACTACAAATACTCAACAATACGTCAACTTATAGTCAGACTCGCAAATTATGTTGTAATTTGACTCATAGTTAATATTAAATAAGCTAGATAAGTTCAATAGATGATGATAAAACTTATTAATTTAAATAAAATACCTAGCTTATTTAATGTTAACAATTATTAATAGTTAACTTACTCATCCATCAATCAATTTTTACATAATTGTTTTGTGGGGTCTGATTATARTACAGATATATAAMATTGATATAAATTTATTTATAATATAATTTCAAATCAATCCTATTATTATTATTATTTTAAATTTTTATTATAGAAATGTATCAAAAGTATAAATAGTCAAAATTAACAAATTTAGTTTTGTTTTGTGTATACAATTAAAAATTATTATATAATGTATATATTAAGATTACAAAAAAAAACAATTAGCGATTCATTTAACCGTAATCACAATACAAGTAGTAATTTATAAATAATTTATATATATATATATATATATATATAGCCGATAATTTAGATATTTATATGAAATATTTGGATAGAAAAAATAGCATTAATAGTAGTAATTACCGATAATTATATATTACAATCATAGTGTATTAATTTAGTTAGTTATTGATTATAAATTATAGTCAAAAAAATACGATTTGTTTTCAAAACAATTGTCTAATTATATAATATTTTCCTCTTTTTTTCTGACAAAATAAATCATAATTTTTTTTAAGATCAGCGCCGGTATGCAAATGATAACTATTATATATTCAATATATAGCCGACGGCCGATTGACTAGAATTTTTTTGGCGTCTGAATTAAGGGTTGCAACTGATAGTTGGTTGACGAGGACAGTGGCGGTGCCGACGGCTCATAGTGATGACCATTATTAATGACGGCTACGTGTTTACGATCGCGACGACGATCGCTGCGTCGACAACAAGACGTACAACAGTAGCAACAGGTGACCAGCATTAGGAACAGTAGAGCGGCCGCTACAGGAATGGTCACATAGTCTGCGGCGATAAAAAAAATGATTAGTTTAAGTGATGGTCACACACACCTATCGTTCAGATAGATAGCTGGGGGACATACCGGGTGCGCACAGCCACGAACTATCGTCATACCATTTGCAGTCAACATTAGCCGCCTTCTCAACCGTCTTGAATACCCCGCCGACCAATCCGTCCACTGTCTTACTCTTGACACCGACGGGACAGTCATCGCCCACTTTATCGACAAAACATTGTCGCAATCTTTGCATTGAACAGCACATCTGTCGTCGCTGTAGTTCATACCAGTCGGGCAATCGGTCGGTCAAATCAATTTGTCGTTTGAACTCTTGGCCACATTTGGCCACTTCATTAGCGTTGATGGCCGCACATAACGGTGTCGCCACAACACCGAACAAGTCTTTCCAAAGGTCAGCATTGGTGGTCATTACCGATACGGTTGCAATGATAACCAYCAATACTATGACCACCGATGATGATGTTGATGATTGTCTACTGATTGTCATCGTTGATGGCAGTGATTGTAACGATTGATTCACTGATTAGTGGATCTGTTTTTTATATATATAGTGGTTGTCTTATGTCAATACAGTTGTTAATAGTTATTATTAATAATAATAATAGTTATTATTAGTTAAATAATTAGTTGATTTAAAAATAATTATAATAATAATTGTGAAACTATTTTACATACAAATTGATTCATTCAATTGATTGTATATTTTATTAACACATTTGATGGCAAAAAACCATATGTCGTATACTTTTAATACAGTATTACTAATACATTAATAGTAATATAAAGGATTGATTGCAYACTTAAAATACAAATATACTTATCATATAAAACATACATAACATTCACATTGAATACTATGGATGGGCTTAAAAAACACATGTATTATTAATATATATTATGTAAATATGGGGGCAATAAATCAATATAATATTAAACACGTTGTATTTGTATTTGTTTAATGTTATGAAATAATAGTTATGCAATGCTATTTGTATTATATGAAAATATAATATRATAGCCAAATGTCAAATTTATGTATTTTTTAAAATTTTATTTTGAAAAAATTATTATATTAATATATATAATTAAACTTTTTTGGTTTTATAAATTTTATTTGATATATATATATATATATATATATTGTGTGTGTGTGTGTGTGTGTGTATTGATTTTGTTATAATAATAGTTATTATAAAAGTTTTATGATAAAAGTGTAAAACATTTTTTTTAGTCGCTTATCTAAAAAAGATAAGCAAAAGTTAATTGTTTTTATTTAAAGTTTTATCATTTATATAAACTAGAGATTTGTTAACTAATGATTTTATCACAATTTTTTACAATTCTATTATCAGTATATTTGAATATTTATTTTAATTTAATCATTATCTAAATATAACTATCATAATTGTTTTTTGTTTAATTTAGTTAATTGTTAATATTTCTATAATAAATATTTTAATAAGAATAATTAGCAAATATTATATCATATATTATTATAATTTAAACAAATAATAAAATATTAATATTATATCAATATATAATTAGATTTAATACTAAATTTTATTGTAATTTTTATACTAGTAATTGAAAGATACAAAAATAAAATAATATAAACACAAAAATGATCTCAGAATTAGTTATTAACAAATAGTTTAAATTTTGACCATTTTTATAGAAAGTTATAGAAAAAATGATAATTTTTTTAAGTATGGGAAACGATATGTGTTTAGTAACGGTGTTCGGGAAGTATCATAAATCTGACCGAATCGCGGCGCCCACTCTTGCGGGCCCTACAACAACAAATGTACACCAAAGCCAACAATAGTACAACTAAGCCGACGGCCACCAACACAAACACATAATCTGTTTAAACAATTGACTGGTTTTCAAAACACTAGTATTTTACAGTAAAAACATTGTATGTTAAACACTATAATAATGACATACCGGGTGCGCACAACCACGAGCCGTCCTCATAGTACTGACAGTCGATGTCGGCGCTAAACTCGACCCCTTTGACCGCTAGTTTGAATACAGAGTCAAACATTTCGTTTTCATCATTAATGGGACACTTGTCGTCCAAGTTGTCGGACATACACTGGCGGTAGTGATTAAGTGCACAGCAAACCTGCCGACGCTGTAGCTCATAGACAGGTAATTCGTTGGCATCATTGATATCTCGCTTAAAATCTTGGCTACATTTGGTTGTGCATACCTGTATGGATACAAAATCATCGGTGTCGGCAGTTTGCAGTTGGAGCACATTTATCTCGTCACCCCTTACCCCAGTCAGACACATCATTAAGCTAATGATAACTGTCCCGAAAATTTGATATATTGTGATCATCATTGTTTGAGTAGTTGTATGTCTAGTGAAATAATTTATACTAAACTTCTAGCACTACATATACAGTTTAATTAAAATTTATTTAATTTATAAAAATAAAACTATACAAAACTGATACAACAATTATTACTTTAATAGTTTTGTTAGTTTTAAAATTTAACTGTTGTATAAATTTTGTTTAAAAATTAGTAATTTGCAAATTGATATCCAACAAGAAAATAATTATATCATCTAATGTTATCCAATTTGAAAATATAATATTTATATCAAAACTTTCAACAACAAAACAAATGTTATATTACCGGTAATCTAAAGTGAAATATATATGTTTTAAATTACATTTGCATTATACAGTAATTTGTCACCAATGAAGTATAGTTTGCATATTTTTTGATATTAATATTACTCATAAAACACAACAACTAAAAAACATAGACAAGAAACTAGAATTTTTACTAAACTAATTATTTTTATAGATTTATTAATAATTAATTAACTTTATATTAGTTTATGAATATAACTTAATATAATATTATAATTTTTGTTTAGTTAGTAAACACTTTTGTTTAATTCTTTCTTTAAAAAAATACATATAATATTTAAACAAATAAACTATTTTTATATATTTTTATTTAATATAAACAATTAGCAAAAATTACATCATATATGATAACATAATATAAACATATATAATAATATATTAATATCAACTGTTTAACTAGATTTCATAATAATCGTAATGTTTAGGTTAGTAATTGAAAGATACAAAAAAAACTATGAACACAAAAAAAATTTGATCCTATAATTAGTTATTATCAAATAGTTTTATACTAATGATAAGGCAGACAAAAAAATGATCATTTTTATTGAGGATCTGGGGAACAGTATATGTTTAGTAACGGTGTTCGGGAAGTATCATGAATTTGGCTGAATCGCGGCGCCCACTCTTACGGGACCGACAACAACAACTGCACACCGACCCCAACAATAGTACAACTAAGCCGACGGCCGCCAACACAAACACATAATCTGTTTAAACAAAACAAAAAAATTTACTGTTTTTCAAAACACTAGTATTTTACAGTAAAAACACTGTATGTTAAACACTATAATAATGACATACCGGGTGCGCACAGCCACGAGCCGTCCTCATAGTACTGGCAGTCAAGTTGTGCGCTAAACTCGACTCCTTTGACCGCTAGTTTGAACACAGAGTCAAACAAATCGTTTGTCTGACCAATTGGACACTTGTCGCCCAAGTTGTCGGACAAACACTTGCGATAGTGATTGAGTGAACAGCAAACCTCCCGACGCTGTAGCTCATAGACAGGCAATTCGTTGGCCAAATTGATCCCTCTTTCAAGGTCTTTATGACATTCAGCTAAAGCATCAGATTTTATGGCCGCGCATATGGGTGTCGACACCATATTGAACATATCCATTAAGCCGACACCCGATACTATGGTCAGACACATAGATAGACCAATGATAAYTKTCCCAAAAATCTGATATATTGTGATCATCGTTATTAGCCCAGTTGTTTGCCCAGTAAACTAAATTATACTAATTTCTAATATAGTTTTATTAAACAATATCACTGTATATACTATAGTATACAAAACTGATATCAATGACTACTATAATAGTTGTGTTGGTTTTAAATTTAACTTTTAATAACTTGCAAATTAATATCTATCACGTAAATAATGATATCATATAGTATAGTGTTATGCAATTTTGAAAATATAATATTATATAAACATTTCCAACAACAACAAAAAACAAATGTTATCAATACTAAAGTGAAATATTTATGTTTTAAATTGCATTTACATTATAATTGGCACCAATGGAGTAGAGTTTGCATATTTTATTATTAATATTAATCATTAAAAAATGACAAAACTAACATATACWGTACAAACTATTTAAATTGACGAGCATGACCAAGTTAGTAATTTAATTGAACTAGCTAATTTTAATAGCCAATTAAAAATTACAGTCAAATAATAGTCAATCTAATAAATAAAATAACAGCCAAATAATATTTAATAAATAATAAGTAAAAAATCTCAATCATCTTATTTATTGTAAAATATTATTAAAAAGCTAAAAAAATTTAATTAGCTATCTTGATCATAGTTTATCTAAATCATGTACTTGTATATCCGCTAATATATATATATATATATATATATATTCAACTATATATATATTCAAATTACTTAAATAATTATAGACCAAAATTCAATGTTACTTATATTACAAATAAGTATTTTAAGTGTTTTTGTTAACATTATTATTAATAATTTATTATATTAGAAACAAACAAATCTTAATAAAATAATTTGTTATAATAATAAAAAAATAATATTTCATTATAAATTTCTTAACAATTCTTTTATTGATTATTATTTAATTTTATAAATTTTTATTTAATAATATTAATACTAATTAACAAAGATTATAATAATATATGATTATATTTATAATAAATAATTTATTATTAATATCTATATAAATACTTAATAGATTTCATAATAATTGTAATGTTTATGTCAATAATGAAAATATTATATTATAGTTGATAGAAATCAACAGAAAAAAAATTTAATCTTATATTTAGTTTTAATTAAACAGTTTTATACTAATGTATAAGTCATACAAAATAATGATTTTTTTTTTGGGGGGGGGGCRGGGGAGTTGAACGGTATACATGTTTAATACAAAGGTATTAGTGAAATATCTTTGATATGACCAAATTAATGGCCCAACAACCGCAACAACAACAACAACCAAACACCAAAGCCAACAATAGTACAACTAAGGCGACGGCCATCAACACAATCACATAATCTGTTTAAACAAAAACAAAAACATGATTTTTAATTTTTAGAAACACTTATATTTTAGGGTAATTTTTWTATATATATATTATAATGACTAACCGGAACACAAATACGAGTTGTCATCATAGAAATCACAGTCAGGATTGGTGGTAAACCTCACTTCTCTGACCACAGTACCATATATTTCGTATTTCTGGCCAATTAGACACTTGTTGATCAAGTTGTTGTTGGTGTTGTTGGACAAACAGTGGCGATAGTTAACAATAGCACAACAAGCCTTCCTGGGCTTAATCCAATCGGTGGTAATTTCTTTGGCATTTTTGACCTCTCTTTCAAACTCATTATGACATTCATTAAAAGCGTCTGATTTTTTGTCCACGCATTTCAACACTATATTGACTATATCGTTGAAGCCATCGACACCCGATACTATGGTCAAACCAATCGATAGGCCAATGATAACTGTCCTAAAATATATTGAGATCATTGTTGTTAGCGTWTATGGTAATGACTATTAATATAAATTACAATAATTTAATAATAATATAGTTTTGTTTAAACGATATTATAATACAAAACTAATGACTGATTTAGTTTTTAAAAACTAATAAATAATTTGTAAAATAAAAGATGAATAATTAAATTAACTGTATATTTATCATAGTTTATATAAAATTAATTTATAGTTGAATTTTTTTGTTAACAATTGTTAATCATAATTATACATYCATAGCAATAATGGTAAATTGACTCATAGATGACTATGTTAACTATGACAATYAATTAATTAATTAATATATCACTATTATTATTTCATTTATTCAACTTATTTAATGTTAAATTATACAATGTCAACTTGTTTAATGTTATAATAATTACTAATAATTATGTTAGTAATTGAAAGATACAAAAAAATCATAATATTATAGTTGATAGAAATAAATGCAAACTAAAGTTTTTTTTATTTCATCYTAAAATTAATTATAAAATAGTTTTATATTTAATATTAAATACTAAAAATAAGGCGTATAAAAAAGCTGTCTATTTTTTAAAAAATAGAGGAACGGTATATAATTAGAAACAGTGTTCGGTTTGGGTAATTGTCATGAATTTAGTGGAATCGCGGCGCCAACTACTGCGCGCCCGATAACAGCAAACGCATACCGACGCCAACAATAGTACAACTAAGCCGACGGCCACCAACACAACAACAACATAATCTGTTTATTAATTAACAATTATTTGTTTGTCTGTTAAATACTGGTATTTTTACGATAAATATGCAAATAAGACATACCGAGTGCGCACAGCCACAAGTTGTCCTCATAGTAATGGCAGTCGAGTTTAGCACTAAACTGGACTCCTTTGACCACTAGTTTGAATATTGAGTCAAACATTGCGTTTTTTAAGCCAATGGGACACTTGTCGCCCAAGTTGTCGGACACACACTGGCGGTAGTGTTTGAACGCACAGCAAACCTCCCGAAGCTGTAGCTCATAGACGGGCAACTCATTGGCAAAATTGATATCTCGCTGAAAGTCTTTTTGACAATCAGCCAAAGCATTAGATTTTATGGCCGCGCATATCGGTGTCGACACCATTTTGATCATATCCATCAATTGGAAACCAGATACTATGGTCAGACACATAGATAGGCCAATGATAACTGTCCCAAAAATCTGATATATTGTCATCATTGTTGTTAGCCTAATTGTTTGCCCAGTAAATTAAATTACACTAATTTCTAATATAGTTTGATTAAACTATTTATACGGTATATTATAATAGAAAACTGTATTCAAAACTGATATCAATAACTTTGTAATAGTTTTTTTTTGGTTTTAAATTTAATAGTTAAAATAAAATTTTAAAAATTATTAAGATACAAATCAATATCTATTACAACAATAATGATAAAATATTGTAATCCAATTTGAAAATATAATATTTATTATGAAAATTTTCTATTAAAAATGTTATATTATACTAAAGTGAAATATGTATGTTTTAAATTGTTTTTACATTATAATTGTTATCAATGAAGTAGATATTGCATATTTATTTGTAATATTAAACATAAAAACATATATAAATTATGATATTTTAATTGCCAAGTATGACCAAGTTTAATTTAATTTGCTAATTTTAATAGAAGCAACAATAAATAATATTAATCTTTTAGAAAATAATAATTAACAAATAAATAACTTACAAATATTATAATTATTTATTTAATAGATTATTAAGTATTTTTTAACAAAAATTATTATGAAAAATTTAATTAGTTATCTTGATCACAGTTGATTTTAAACCGTGTGATTTTAATATCCGTTAATATATTTAGGTTACTTAAATAGTTATAGACTATAATTCCTTTAAAAATGTTACTTATATTAAAACAAAAATATTTTAAATATTATTTATAATTTTATTAAAAACAAAGTAATCTTAATAAAATTAGTTTTTTAAAATAAAAAATTTATATAAAAATATTTAATCATATTTTTTAGCAATTGAAAATTGTTCATGATTATTATTATTTTATAAAAAATACTACTACTTTTTAATTCATATATATAATTTATATATTAGTTTATTATAACTATCAAATAATTTTTATTTTAATAATTTTGGTTAATTTATTGTATTAATAAATATTTTTATGCATTAGTTATATTTATAAATAAAATAATAAATGTTATTTTTGTGGCTATTGAATAGATTTTCAATATATGTAAAAAATGAAATTTAATTCAATAGTAGTTTTAAAAGTAGTGAAAATAACTTATTAATACTTATTTTATTTGATTAAATGATTATCTATTAAAGATCATTAATTATTTATATAATAAAATAAAATTACTTATAATTATCTTGTTTTTTAATGCAATTAAAATGCAATCTTTGGTCTCCTATCGGGATATCTATAGTTATCAGTAGCCATCACTCCATCCGTGTAGTCATCCATTTCCGATATCTCTTCTATAGTGTCGATATAATAATTACTATTATAGTTAAAATAGTTTATATTTGACAGATCACTATCCCGTCTATGCAATGCCTGTCCAGTTATCGTTGACTCACTTTTCATATCTTCATCAGTGACAACAATGTCAGTGCTTTTCGGCGACGACTTCTGGTTATGATCTTTGAGTTCGTGATGTCTCAGATGTATAATATCATTGATGGCATATTTGAAGGCATTTTCTTCCATATAGTTAAATAAGTACAACGCTATCAATATGACGGTAAGCACTGATGGCATCAATATTGAACCATATTTTAGGCTAACCGTCCAAATAAATGTCAACAATAGCAAATGCATTACAGGAACTAATAGGATGGGTTAGACATTATTTCAAGAGATATTTTACAAAAAAAATATATTTGTTAATCTACTGTATAAGCACCGGTAGGTTATAAAACTTACTGATACACTTCATAAACGTTTCTTTAAGAAATCGTTTAGTGTCGTCCTCGAAAAGACACTCCCAAATGTCGTTACTATTATTATTACTACCAGTTTGTGACACTGTATCGGCAACATCATCGGTATCCGATGCCTTCCAGTCAACAAAAATTAAAGCCATAATCCTTTAATTATTTTTTTTAATAATACTTTTATTATGTTTTATTAATTTTTTTCAACAAACAAAAAAATCCTTATATACCTGTGCCGTAACAAACAACACAAATAAGTGACTATAAAAATTTTTGGCACAAAAATGTAAAAATTAATTATATGAAACAAAAATCTCAATATTTTAATCAATTAACGTGTGTGTGTGTGTGTGTGTGTGTGTGTGTGTGTGTGTGTGTGTGTGTGTGTGTGTGTGTGTGCTATTAATAAATATATTTTTATTTTTAATATACCAATATTTTTTTTATTTATTAATAATCAGTTGAATGTCAATTTTGATGTGCAAGCAATGCATGAATGGACAAAAAAAATTGGATAACAAAAATATATTTAATTTTATATTATATCCTAAATATGACTGCAATAGGTAAATGTTATGCATATTATTAGTTCAAAAATATATTATATATTTTGTTACATATAATTTGTTAAATGTGTGGGTATATTATGATGTGTCAAAAAAAATAATTCTTATAAATTAAAACTAACAGTAAAACTAATAATATTTATATATGTTTTTTAAAAATTAATTAAACATTTTTAAAAAATAATCAATGAATTCATTAATTGATTAACCAGTTAATAAGCAAATAAAAAAATAGTTTAATATAATAAACAAACAATTATTTTAGACAAGGATAGATTAAAAATATAATACATTGTATTAAAGTAGATAAAGGAAGTATGAGATTATGTATTAATCCAAAAATGTAGGTTAAGATCAGGGGACAGTTAGATTAGCCGGACATGTCATACAAAACTATTGTCTATATAAATAGGCATACATTTGTTGGGCGATAAATAATTCAAACATATATTGCAAGTGAATCACAACTATCTTTAAAAAAATAGTGAATAAACTGAAATATTTTTAGACATAAAATTAACTAAATTTTTGTAATTTTTTTTTTGGTGTTCACATGAATTTAACTATACTATTGGTTACAGTTATTTCACTTATAGTTATTACATTAACAAGTGGTAGTGAAGTATCTCATTGTATGTTAATATATTTATATATATTTTTTTAAAAAAAACTATTTGTTTGTGATTATAAATATTAAATATTTTATGAATGATATGTTTTATTGTAGTGAGAAAACCAAAAGCGCCGCTAAAACCGGTACCGAAATCGTTGACCGAAGCATTTGCCGATTTTTTGGGACACATATCCTTTCACGTAGTGGCCGCTACACTATCACCTGTCATACTAAARGTGGCATTAATGCCATTGTTTGTTATATTGAAGTTTATATCCACACCGTTAATAATGATCGGACTGACTGGCTATCTAATGGTGGCCACCACTGCCCTAACATTAGTCAAATCGGGTAAATAATTACAACAAAAAACTATTTTTTTCTTCATATAAAACTTAACTAACAATTTATATTTTTTTGTGTGTAATACCGCTCTCAGGTATGATGAGTCCCGTATTTGACGCCCGATCGGCCGAGTCGGACAGCTTTTTATCATCAATGGGAGAGCTATTGTCTACAAATCTATCGACAATTACCACCGAAATGATGAACTTCTTTGAGCTAAACAACAACGACTGTAAAATGGAGATGACCTGTCGTTTTGGCAAACGTATGGCCCATACTATACCATACGTACAGTACTTTCTCGCACAGTCCGGGTATGTGTCCAGAAGGAGTGGGTTTAGGGTTGGGATTGGGATTGTATACCTTATAGAAATTATAGTATTTTATTTAGTGGTTGACTATATAGTAAGAAAAATATCTATTGACTTAATTGCAAAAAAACTATATATATATATWTATTTTTCTCTTTTCTGAATAACTCTTATTGATAACCAATAAATGACAATAATTTTTATAGTATTATAATTATTTAAAAAATTAATTAAATTATTTATTTATTTAAATTATTAATTAAGTGCGGCCAACTGGATTGAAAACCCGTATATCTCACATATGGTCCGTGCAATGACCGGCCAGATTGACTGTCCCCGTAAGTGTAGATCCATGCAAACCGATGGCGACAGGTATGCCTCCACTAGCTATACATCCGATGATGGAAACGCCGCCGACACTGTATTTCAATGGTTGGGATAATATCTAGTAATAAAAAAAGTTTTATATTATTAAAGATATTTATTATTATAAAAATATATTATTTATGAAAAATAAAACCAAAATAAATTATTTGTTATTTAAATTGTTTTTTTGTTGTTGTTGGTGTCAATAATTATAATTTTATTATAATTTTATTTATAATAATAAATATTAATAATAATAAATAGCAATTTGATATACAATTTTTTCCCAATTATCCATAAATACTTATGTAATATATTTTTTCCCATTATTATTTTTTAAATTAAAAATGTCATTATTAAACTTAAATTCAAAAAATATATGTTTCATGATTTTTTTATGTTAAAATTAAATTTAATGTTTTTTTCAAAAGGAAAATTATTAGGAAACTCAAAAGTTTAATATGATTTTGTAAAAATATATCAGTATTGTTAACAACAAATAAAACAAAACCACACAATTAGTCATTATACTATATATTATATATATATATATATATATATAAAATATATAMTTATATAAATTTACATATATAATKTTAACTTATCTATTAAATTTAAAATAACATCAATACTAATAATAATAGTACACTATATTCCTATAAACTACTACAGTATTACAKTATTATTATTATTAWTAATATAGAAATTTGACATATATGAATTTTCATAAAAATTAATATAACAATTAATATATTTGTGATTATTACTATTATTATAAGTTAACTATAAATATATTTTATTTATAATTAACTTTATTTTTTTTTAAATGATAATTTTGTGATTACAATAAAATATAATAATTCACTATACAGTAGATAAACCGTATAATACATAAAATGTATATAAATATATAGATATTATAGTATGTATATATACCATAATATTAATCAAGTATAGTATCTAATCCTCGGTAGTATAGTGGTTAGTATCCCCGCCTGTCACGCGGGAGACCGGGGTTCGATTCCCCGCCGGGGAGTATTTTTTGTACATTTATATATTATTTTTTGTACAGTTATTTTKAACATTTTAAATAATTTTTGTGCATATTTTTTAACTAAACATAAAGTATATAATTTTTTGTGGTTAAATTTTTTTAATCCAGCTAAACTAAACTAAATATAAATCAAATTAAATAAGTTATAATTTTTTAAGTTGTTTAGTTAAAACATTGTTTACTACACATTATATATTAAATTGAATACAAACATAACTAGAGGGCACTGTTTCTGTTTGTTGGGCTCCTGTATGTTTAAGTGTGTTAGTTGGGTATTGTGTGTGTGTGTTGATGTTGGGTTGGGGTCATTCACACCATGCGATTGGGATAACACATACATACAGTGTGTAAGTAAGTATATAACTTTCCATTATTTTCTAATGTAGTTTTTTTTTGAATATAAAAATGTTTATGTCATATATTCATACATATAATATATCATAGATATTATATACAGTATATTTGCAAACCTGAATTGCAATATAGTATAGTATATTATATTTATTTAATTTTAATTTGTTTTTTATTTGACATATATTTTTTCAATAATTTTTCAATGTATTTGTTGTGGACTTGTGGTGTGTGTTTGCTTATAATATCAAATTTGTTTTAATTTAATATTTTTATAATATTTGTTTAGTCAAATTATTTTATTAGTGTTACAATAAAAAAATAATAATAAATATTTTATATCATATAATTTGTTTTGTTTGTTTATTTTATTATTATTGATTTATTTTCGTCTATATTCATACATTATTCACCAAATTGTATATTAATAATAAATATTTTTATTTAATGATATTATTATTTTTTGTTGTATTACTTATACGATATATGATATAATAAGTTAGTTGTGTCAGTACTTTAACCATTGGATATAAGTGTAAAATATATAGTATTTTTGATTAGTAGTATAACTTATTGAAACAAAACTATATTATCTATTTATTAGCAATTTTCTAATGTTGACATTTATTAGTATCATATTATTATTATTATTTTTATCGATGTTTTAATCAAACAAATTGAGCCAACAGTATATGATATATAAACTATTGAATTAAATGTAAGTGTTTTTTATGTTACTTTTATTTATTTTTTTCCTTAAAAATATCAAAAGTAAGTTTACTTTTAGGGGAAAGTTTTTTTTTGTTTTAATAAAAAAAACTATCGGTTATTTTGTATAAAATATACACAAAACCAGTCAAGTTGTATGAACTCACCTCCCGGTGCTCAGGTGTGTGTGTGTGTGTGTGTGTATTATTTTTATTATGTGTCCTCTATTTTATTGCCCATATGTGCAGCTCCTATATATATGTTATTGTACGACTAAATAAATATTATTTTTCAAATAATAACAAATAGTTTATATTTCAAAATATTATTATTATTTGATTAGTTTTAATAATTATTTAAAGTTAGATATAATAATAGTTATTATATAATATAATATTAAATATCTATAACATATAACTTATAATAGTTATTTTTTATTAGTGCATATATCAATAGTTATTTAAATGTGTTAATAATCAACTAAATTATACCTGTACATATTTATTTGTATTATTATTTTTTATTTGTTATTTAATGGTAAGATAATTTTATTAAAATTTGTTTAATTTTAATTATTATTTTTTTGTAAAATTACCAATATTTGATTAAATGTAATTTATTAATAAATTTAGATATTTTATTTAGAAAACTGTGCTAGATTAGTTATAATTTATTGATTATTATTAAATTAAATATTTTATTTTGAAATTCAATTATATTGTTTTTACTTTCTATAATTACACAAGTTATTTTTTAATTTTTAAAAATAATAATAATTATTATAATTATTATTTACTAATTAATAAACAATCAAATTATTTATTTATTTTTGATAGATTTCATTTTCCTTCTAATTAAATAATTATTACTATTAATTAGGTCTCTGAGATAATAATTAAATTAAAAATGTAAATAAATTATTTATGTATCTTATTGTAGAATTTGAAATATAAATAATGATTAGTTATTACTATTTATTTTATTTAATTTTTTAAAAAATTTAAACTTTTGGACTTTCCTCCCGGACAGTGCTCAATATGACACACTTTTATTTTTTAAACGGCATAATTTATAAAATATAATTACAAGTTTAAATTGTAATTTTTTAAAATATTAAAAGCTAAAGTTTACCTGTTACATATACTGTATTTGATAAAAAAAATTTTATACAATATTTTATTTTATATAAAATATTTTAACTATTAGAGTGTTTTAATTCGTTTATAAATAAATATACAGAATTTTATAGAAAGTTAATATAGATATACCTTTATATATATACAAATATATATATATATATATTATATATATATTTATGAAAAAAATTTTGAAATATAATAGCATTTTTGTATGACAGTGTGTATGTGTGTGTGTGAGTGAGTAAGTGAAAAATAAATTGTCTACCAGTCCTTGAGTGAATTTTTTTAAAAGTTTTGTTTTCAATAAAGAAAAAACATGTTTTTGACATAATGTCATTGAAAAAAGGGTAGCTAAATATGTACAATATATATATACTGTATACAGTATATATGTTACAATAATAATAACTAGTATATAATTATATATTATATTTAAAATCCAGGTATTTTGATGTTATTGTTGTTGTTCATTGTGTTATAACTACTTATATACAGTATTTGTACTAAATATACATTATATTGTATGATATCACTAAATCACAAGTTTTTATTAGGATTGTTTGATAATTTTTTTTTATAAATGCTAAAAGGTATTTAAAAAAAATTATTTATAATTTTAAAAATATGTAATAAAAATATTTATAWATATATATTTATATAAGTTATATATATTATTAATGTTGCAACTATTATAGCTATAAATTAAAAAATAATTATTTTGCATTTATTTTTACTGTTAAATAAATTTTTAAATGCATGTATTTTTCTAATTATATGTATTTTTAAAATTTAAGTATTACATATTATTAATAATTATTTATAACTTCAATTAGTTTTCAATTAATATTAATTAAATGCAATAATATATTGTTTTTATTGCGATATGTTGTTATATGTGTGTTTTATTTACTTTTATAATATAATTAATTAGAAATATGTAGACATATTAAATGTTTTTTAAAGAAAATTATTTTTTTGCTAATTTAATATTTAATTAAAATAATTATGTAACTGATACCAACAAAAAAAAGTTATATAAAAAATTAAATTTATATTATTATACTGATTCTAGAAAGTAATAATAATAATATTAAAATTGATTTTGTTTTTTGTCTCATTTTTTGTGTGCATTCAATTACAGGTGATTTCACGTGAATTTACATTTATTTTGATGTGGTTTTCCTAACAATAATATATTATAATTATATTATCCATATGTTAATTGTAAAATCACCACTTTTTTGCGTCAATTATGATCATTATATTATGATAATGTACTACCAGTCCTGACAAGCAGCTCCGGGAGGAGGAAAAACACACACASAGACACATTAAACATTAATAATATTAACAACAATAGCTCTTTACTTGATCACTGCTAACACACCTCCCAGTCTAGTCCAGGGCTAACTGAGCTTACGGGTCGATCATTTTTTTGAGACAACTATTTTACCGAGAAATACGAGCAAAAAAATGATGGACTCACCATACAAATCATCGGCACCGGGCGATGATGATGACGATCGCATAGACCTGTCCGACGCACTGCTCGCACAACTATCAGGATTATATATGAACGAAATGGCCAGCGATATAGTATTCATAGTCGACGGCCAACGAATCTGTGGCCACAAGTTTGTCGTTTGTTTGCGTTGCGATTATTTTCGGCTAATGTTTGGCTCCGGACTACGGGAGTCCATCTCTCACGAAGTGGAGATCAAAGATACACCGATAACGGCATTCAAAGATGTTCTCTATTTTATGTATACCGGAGTCATCCATCTGAACAACAAATCAATTGACGACATCATCGATATATTATATTTAGGTAATTATTAGTTAGTTTTTTTAGTTAAAAATTTATATACCTTTTATTTGTATATATTTTTATTCCTATTTAGTATTGAAAATGTAGTTTTTTTATCATCTATTTATATATTTACTACTTTTTATTTTTAATATTTTGTTTTGTAAATTTGAATATATTTATTTAGTAAAAATTAAATTATTTAAGCAACAACAAAAAATATTTTTCGATACATTAATAGATATGTTTTTCACGTTTACCACATATGATGGCATTGAGATTAATATTTACTGTATTTAATTTAAATTTTTATTTGATTAGAAAAAATATTATTTTTTTTTGTATAAAAATTTTATTTATTCTAATTTAGTTATACAAAGACAACAAAAAATATTTTATTTATAAAAATGTATTAAATGTCTTATTAATTAGTTTTTTTTTCTTACAATTATATTTATGATATAAATCTATAGGCCATCGATACGAAATGCGTGAACTGGTAGTAGCCATCACTGACTATATGTCTTTGCATATAACAATAGACACGGTATGTGTCATTCATGAAACGGCTTCACTGTTTGGCCTGACATCGCTGGAGAGACAGTGCCAACAATTTATGTTATATAACGGCTATCAATTGCTGGCCAACGACCAGCTCATGACTTTGGACGCACAGACACTGATCCAACTGTTAACTAGTGACGAGTTTTGTGCCGAAGAGATTGATATATTCAACGCAGTCGTCAAATATATCCAAATAAACACCGCCTGCGGCTCCGATACCGATGAGGACACTGGCCGTAAACTGTTGGCAACTGTCCGCTTGTCGCACATTTCGTGGAACGATCTGATTGCTTATGTCTGGCCATCGGGTATGTCGTAACTATCATAAGCTATTGATTTGAAGATTAAAAATTTTAAACAATTTTGTTGTTTTAACTTAAATATCAGGTTATTATCAAAGAGACGAACTCTTGTCCACAATTGACAACAACAACACCAACACCGCCGCCGGCGCCTGTAATCGACAAGTGGTCGACAATTATCGCAACAACTCGAGAATGTGCTGTAAATCAATAATGAGTTTACAGGAAATGTCTCCATATCTTGTCGAACAATCGGTACTCTATTGTCGCCGATTTGATCCAAACGTTTCGTCCATTGTCCAGAAGATTCCCGGTTCGGTAACCTTTGACCTGAATTGTGTACATTTTTGCAATTATCTTGAACTGGATTTTGGTAATTGCGAAAAAACTGGTTATTCCTATTATATTGAAGTTGCAGCCGATAATAGTGATCACAATTGGAGACGTATTATCGACTATACAGACTACCGGTGCCATTCAGTACAGTACATATACTTTTCGAAGACAGCCGTCAAACGATTGCGCATACATTGTACGTATAGCAAGAGTGGCGGAACCAACTTTATCATCAACAATATTAAACTGACTGTCCAGGACGTGCCCACCAAACTCTATACTAATGGTTTACGGGGTGCCGGCAGACTAGATACTAGTAGTGACTATACCTGTCATAATACAAACAAATGCTATGAACCGCTATACGGCCCACAATTGGATATATCGAAAGCCCTGTCCGCCAAACAACAGTCCATTTTGAAGACACAATAACTAAGTTATATAGTGATATGATTTTTTATTTATGTTTTATTTTTATAAATATAAGTTTTATATACACAAAATAATGTGAGATTTTTATAAATATGTTTTTTAAATATCATTATTTTACAAGTTATGGTAATCATTATATAATACATTTAATTATTGTTTTTTTAATTTTAAATGTTATTGTGTTTTAGCAATTGTATTTTTAAATAGATTTAAGATATAATTTTTTTAAATATTTGTAATCGTGTCATATATTTATATATAGATTTATATACAGTATATTTTTAATGTATAAATTTTTWWWAAAAAAATAGTTTTATCTATTTGATTCATAAACAACATTGTTTCTAATTTTTATAATTTTTTATTAAAAATAAATTGAAAAATTTTAATATATATATATAAACAATTATAATTTGTTGGTTTTCAGTGACTTGAATGACAACAATAATAATAATAATAGTATCAGTAATTGTTTTTATTTTTTTCCAACTTTTACCTGTAATTTTCATTATGTTTGACCACTTATGCTACTTAAACATAGATATAAAGATTAATAATTATTTTTTTTATCTAAAGTTAAATAACAATATTTATTTATTTAATTATAATCTTTTTTATTAAAATATTGTTGTTGTAATTTTGTTATTAATAAATACTTTATAAATTGTTAACATTATAATAAATTGTATATCAATTATGGTATATCTATGAATTGTAAATGTTTTATTACCGGTATATAAATATATATAAAAAAAATATTTGATTCACAGAATATAGAGTATTATTTATCAATAGACATATAAAAAAAAACAATTTTTTTAAAAAATACTAAATTCAAAATATTAAATTAAATTATTTACAGTAATACTATTTATATAAAAAATTGTATAATTTTGTAATGTATTAATAATCTAATTATTTAATAATGAAAATAATAATAATAATATATTAAATATAATGTACGATAATAACGATAACAATCTAAACAAACAGATAATTCAATAATTATAATAACAGTCCACTACTGGTGTTCAATAAGACTGAGACCGTCGGTGTCGTCCAGATCTTTGTAGTCGTCAAACGTATTGAACGCCACCAAACACTTGTCGTTTGAATAGTGGACGTACTGGCGATCGGCGGGCAGTGACGGCTCCACTTTGGTCCACCTCTTTGGCGGCCATATTATGTACTGACAAATGGCTGATATGAGACCCAATGGCACACAACCAAAGGTATTGCTTTTAATAATAATATTTAAAAAAAACATTAGTGTGATTGACATTATTGTATAGTTGTCAGAGTCCTAATGACTAAACTACCTGTCCATGGATTTGTCTGAATTGTCGCCCTCAACCCAACAGTGACCTTTCGGTACGATAATAGTCCGGTGACGATATCGGGGACGCGTCACTACTGTATCGCCTAAACATTGGTGACCGCAACAAAAAAACATTAACAAACAAAATCAATGTATTCATACTTATAATATGCGGACAACTCTGGCGCCGCCGTCGGTGGACACTAACCTTCGAGAGCGACAACCCGTTTGATGATGAGTTGATTGGGTTCTCGGGGCGACACAAGTGACACAATTTGACCGCGTTTTACGTCAAACTTGCGGGCGGACCAGTGCGACAACAACACCACATCCGGAGCGTCCGATTCGCATGCATTGAACGTCGGCTGCATTGACCAGCCGTCAACTTTGGCCATATAACCAAAACAATCGGTCACTACTATGGTTACCGGCACTGTTACGGCCAACGATCGCATCAGTGCCCGCACTGAGGCTACTATCGTCGATACCATTATAGCAGTTATTATTGTTATTACTTTCACCGATAGCTTAATCGATCGATTGGTCACAACATTACCGACTTGTTGTTGTTGTTGTGGTCATCACTGGTCATCGCCGATAAACAATCAATCAATCATTTGGTAAACATTTATTTCACTTTTTACTTACTGTTTATGTAATCAAAAAAAAAAATGTTTCACAAAAAACAAATCCAAACAAACTATTGAATTAAAATCTAAATATTTTTTGTTTTATCGCTAAATAAATGGATAAACAAAACGAAAATAAAAAATTCAATCAAAATATATGTTTTAATATTTGTTTTGATGACTCAATCGGTGAAACAAATTGCAAACATTTCATTACATTTGAAAATAAATTGATAAATAAAATTGCAATCGAATTGTTTGTGTGTTTGAAAATCGAATTTATTTAACAAAACACTTATAATAATAACAACAAAATCGACTTTCAATTCACAAACACACAGATATAATCACACATCACTTTAATACTAAAAATGTTCATCAATAACGTCTAATAAATAATATACATATTTTGTTCCCTTTATTTAAAAAAAAAAAATTAGATATTCATATTTGTATTGTTTTTAAATGCAATGTTTTTTAAAATTTGATTAATAATAAACATTATTTGTTTTTCATAGCAATTTGTAATAATGTAAACATATATTTATGACACAATTGAATGACACGATTGCAATAACCGATTAATTAATTGACAGTTAGTTAACATAACAATACAATTGTCCGATCAGTCAGTCAGTCCGATACAGTTATGGCCACCACTACTACTACTACCACCAACACTGACCGCCGCCATCAATACATATCGCTAGAGTTGGACGCGTCAACCGAACTTCGCGACTGCAAACATGCGGCCCATTGTCTGCTATATTCTTCCGCCGACTGTTCTGGCCGTCACTTAGTGTTACTGCAGATGCGTTTTGACGGACTATTGGGATTTGCCGGCGGCGAAGTAGAAGTGGCCGATGTTACCGTCGCTGATATTGTCGACGCCACCAATCGTGAACTCGAAGAAGAAATTAACTATCGTTTCGATGGTGTCACGCGTGACGACTGGATTTGTACCCATCGTGACAGTGGTTCGCCATTTGTTCAGCACTTCTTTGCCAAAGAGCTGACCGCCGATCAGTTGCGTCAATTGGAGACGACTCACACCACTGCTGAACACTTTCCTTGCGAGTCATTAGGTCTGTGAGAGTCTCACTATTTTTGTCTGTCATTCTTCTGTGACAACAAAATCCTATTAAAATTAGGTTTATTTCGGGTCCCAATCGGCGGTTTCGATCAGAAGGGAACGTCGCGAAAGTTTTTGATCAACTTTTTGGGCCAACGTTTTGCCGGTAATGCCAGACAACAGTTCATTGAAACAGTTAAAAAGCTATCGCTGGTCAGCGATGACGACCTCAAATGGATGGAAAGTCACTCTGAGTTGACAACTGATAGTGGTTTGGCTGTCGGTAGCGAAACCGGTATCGAAATTAAGACTCTGTTGCGTACGGATCTCGACGTTCATTATTATGACGAATCGGTAAACGTAACGTACGGACTGATGATTGTCAGAGAGGACGGACTGTTCGACTTTGTTGGCCGACATTATGTTAGCTCTGGTGATAACGTCGGCGGCGGCGACGACACCGATAGCAACCGTAAACTTTGGTTACAATCCTTAAGACAACATATTGTCCACGATTTGGGCAAAGATATCATACCTCTGGAACAGACAACTAGTGATGTGATATCTGTCGACAATAATTTGTGCCATATTTTCGACATACAATTAAGTGATAGCCATTTCTGTCAAATCGAAACCAATTTAGTCGAGTCGACAAACTATGGCTGCAAAGTGTTCGGCATTTTTCGAGTTCCGCTTGTATTTCGCGGTTCGACCTCAAAGGCCAACCAATATGTTCAGCGATTCTTCAATGGATTTCTTAGTCAACGATTTGCCGGCAATTCTAGGAATCATATCAAACATATTTACGACAAATAATATTTAGTATAGAAAATGCTTATGTTTTAAGACAACAATTTCCAAAATTAATTATATATTTATTTTATCAATAATAATAAGTTTATATTTTTTAAAATATAGGGTTTTTTATTTAATAAAATTAATTTGTTATATAATTTTTTTAGGGTTTATATAAGTTACAAATAGTAACTATGATACCGGTGGAAATTTTTTACGCTATTAATTTTGTTTTAAATAAATTGTTTTACACTATTATTTATATCAATATATAAATTTGTTGCTAATATATATATATATATAACATACATATATATACAGTATATATAATGCTATTTTCATGTATAGTATTTAATAAATTAGTTGAATTATTTACGTAAAATTTTTGTTTGTTTGTTAACATATGCTAACAGGATTTAGTAACATTTATTTTATTAGATAATTATTTTTTATACAATTTATACATTTTAGTTAACGCAATGAATTTTTGTTAACCTGTGGTAATACAAAGTTTATTAGTATTATTATGACATAAATCAATTTCACATATTATCAGCTTATTATATCTAAATTAATGATAATAAATTGTTGTTTAAATAATTATTTATTATAGATTATATATAAATTTCGAAAAATAAAAAAAAAAAGATTAATAATAATTATTAATTTAATACATAATAAATTAGAGTTAATACGAGAATTATGAGCTATTATAACATGTGTTACCAAATAGATATCGAAATAATCTAATTTTCTATATAAATACAATTGTTAAAAAAATAAAATTATATAATTACCGGTAATAGTTATTTTATTTTTTTTAGTTTGTAAAACTAAACTAATTTAAGTGAAAATATTTTTTTATAAATAAAAAATGATTTATTTGTCATTATTGGCATTACTGGCTATTTGTTTTATAGACCAAACATACGGTCAGCTTCAATGTCGCGACGAATCGGGCAAATCGGTTGACTGGTATGTGGTCTATAAGTTTCCCCGACTGTCTGGCGGTGAGGCGCCAGTGGACACCGGTTTTCACTACGCTTTCATTACCAGCGAATCCAAGTCGGGTTGGATTTTGTCCGACTTAGGGATTACAGATAAGAAGTCGATATTTGGACAGACATTGCAACCCCTATACGACAAGTTCATTGACTCGCATATTAGTTATATCAACTATAACGATCAGACGCCCGACAATAAAACTACGAGTGGCGGAGCTCACGCCAAGGGTGTTGTCGGTATTGATAAAACACACGGGTTTTGGCTCATTCATAGTGTGCCAAAGTTTGCCTCAAAAGAGGTATAAGTTTTAAAAATTTATTTATTTACCTAAATTTCTTACATTTATTATCTACATTATAGTCGACCCATACCTACGAATATCCGAAAACCGGTGGCCGTTACGGACAGACAGCATTGTGTATATCCATCAGCATCGCTGAAGTGGACAAAGTTATTGAACAATTGCTTTATATGCAGCCACAGGTCTATTCAATTAAGGTGTCGTCCGACTTGAAGTCAGTGTCCAAAAATATAGCGGCACTTGAAAATAAAGATTGGGAAACGGGTCAATTGAACGTACGGTACATTCAGAGTACAGGTGGTGTCAATTATACCAGTTTTAGTAAGAGTCCCGGCGATCACGTAGATCTTTATGCCGATATAGTTGCTCCCAAACTCAGTACAGACCTATACGCCGAAACCTGGCGTCAGGGTGTCGGCACACCGTTGCCATCTGAGTGTGACCTCAAGAAAACGGTCGAAAATGTTCACACAATTGGCTATAAGTTTTCCAACTCTAAGCTTAGCGGACAGTTTGATTATCTCAACGATCACAGCAAATGGGCCATTGGTAAGACTTCGGCCAAACCCTATGTATGTTTCGGTGATATGAATCGTATGAAAAGTCAGTTCAAAAGAGGCGGCGGAACCACTTGTTTCGAGACGCCGACGGTTTGGAAGAATATGAACGAATGGGTGGCACGAGTGGACAAATGCAAGAGTTAATTGATATTTAGATATAAAAAAGACAAAATAAAACATTAATATAAAAATCCACTGAAAAAAGTTTTTTATGATTAAATTAAATAATAAAACATAATAAGAATAAATCTTAAATTAATTTTAAATAATAAATTTTAATATACCGGTTCTGTAATAAATATATACAATAAATTATATACTGTACACATACAGTATATGTATTGTATAAATGTATTATATAATTAAAATAAATTTTAAAAATCTATTTCTCGACAATATGGCAGCATATAATTTATATTATTTTTAAAAAAAATTATTAAAATATAAACTAGATATATTTAATATAAAATGTGAAAATATTAAAATTAATCTATAATTTATTAAATGTGTATATTTTATTTATTTATTTCATTAATTATTTTCATAAATTATATAATACTATATTTTTTAAGTTTTTATTTGTTTGTTTTAATTGAGAATATTTTTAAAATCTTAACTTATATTTGAATTTTTTAATAAATTAAGTTATTCACAATTGAAACACAAAAAATCAAAATTTTAAAATAATTATAAAAAAAACTTTTGATAAGTATAAAAGCTATGATAAAAAAAACTAATTAATTAACCCATCATTAGTTTAAATCAAATAAATTTTTAAGTTTAGTTTAAGTTTTAATTTAGTTTTAAAGTTTTTTAATACGTTTTATAAATCTTTATTTTGTAGTCATTTAATTATTTCGGTATTACTTAAGACAGGAAATAAAAATTTATATTTTTGAACAAAAAAAAACTAATTATTTAATTAAATACATTTACGTCAATATAAATCAATTAATATGACATAAATATATTGAATATATTTTATTAGTAACGATAAACTAATTTAATTGAAATTGTTTTTATAATTAAAATTTTTATATATTAAAAAATGATTTGTTTGTCTTTATTGGCATTACTGGCAATTGGTTTAATAGACCAAACATACGGTCAGCTTCAATGTCGCGACGAATCGGGCAAATCGGTTGACTGGTATGTGGTCTATAAATTCCCACACGTGTCTGGCGGTGAGCCGCCAGTGGACACCGGTTTTCGCTACGCCTTCATTACCAGCGAATCCATGTCGGGCTGGACTTTGTCCGACTTAGAGATTACAGATAAGAAGTCGATATTTGGACAGACATTGCAGCCGCTGTACGACAAATCTGCCGATTCGTATATCAGTTATATCAACTATAATGACGAAACTCCCGACGATAAGACCACAAGTGGCGGCGCTCACGCCAAGGGTGTTGTGGGCGCTGATAAAACACACGGGTTTTGGCTCATTCATAGTGTGCCAAAGTTTCCCTCGAAGGAGGTATAAGTTATAAAAGATTATATAATATTTTTTTAACTAAATTATTATTGTTTATTCTCTATAGTCAACCCATAGATATGAATATCCGGAAACTGGTGGCCGTTACGGACAGACAGCTTTGTGTATATCCATCAGTATCGACGAAGTGGACAAAGTTATTGAACAATTGCTTTATATGCGGCCACATGTCTATTCAATTAAGGTGTCGTCCGACTTGAAGTCAGTGTCCAAAAATATAGCGGCACTCAAGAGTAAAGACTGGAAAACGGGTCAAATGAATATACGGCAAATCCAAAGTACAGGTGGTGTCAAGTATACCAGTTTTAGTAAGAGTCCCGGCGATCACGTAGATCTCTATGACGAGATAGTGGCCCCACATCTCAGTACAAACCTATACGTCGAAACCTGGCGTAAGGGTGTCGGCACACCTTTGGACTCCGAGTGTGACCTCAAGAAAACTGTCGAAAATGTTCTAACAATTGGCTATAAGTTTACTAACTCTAAGCTTAGCGGACAGTTTAATTATCTTCACGATCACAGCAAATGGGCAATCGGTAAAACATCAGCCAAACCCTATGTATGTATCGGTGATATAAATCGTATGAAAAGTCAGTTCAAGAGAGGCGGCGGAACCACTTGTTTCGAGTCGCCGACGGTCTGGAAGAATCTGAACGAATGGGTAGCAGAAGTGGACAAATGCAAGAGTTAATTGTTATTTAGATATAAAAAAAGATAAAATAAAATATCACATAATATAGTAATTCAGTCAACAAAACAAGTTTTTTTTAATAAAATTTAATTATAATAAATATTTAGGTAATTTTAAATAATTGAATAAAACAAAAATAATAATAATTTTTAAAAATACTGTAATTAATATAAACATGTTTATAAAAAACCAATACTTTATATTTTCAATAAATTAGATAAGTTATACATATATATGTTTAGATGTGATTTATATAAATTTAATTATAATCACTTAAAAAAACAAACACAGATACAAATTAAAATTAAAAAGTTAAATAATTAAAACAAAACTTTTCTTTGAAAAATTTTGAAACTGTGATAAATAAATATTTTATAATCAATTTAGCCTATATTTAGTTTAAATCAAACTAATATATTAGAATAAATAAATATTATACATAAAGTCATAATATAATAATTATTATTTTGATTCAATTATTTCAGTATAAAATTAAAAAGAGTAAATAGATGTTTTTAATGTTTAAATATTTTTAAATAATATAAATAGTAAATGAAGTCCATGTAAATGTTTTTAAAGAAAAAATTAATTATTTAATTAAATAATTTTACGTCAATTTAAATCAATTAATATAACATAATATGTTTAATTATACAGTATATTTTTTGCATTTTATTTGTAACGATAAACTAATTTAATTGAAACTGTTTTTATAATTAAAAATTTAATATTAAATAATGATTTGTTTGTCTTTATTGGCATTACTGGCAATTGGTTTAATAGACCAAACATACGGTCAGCTTCAATGTCGCGACGAATCGGGCAAATCGGTTGACTGGTATGTGGTCTATAAGTTTCCCCGTCTGTCTGGCGGTGAGCCGCCAGTGGACAGCGGTTTTCGCTACGCTTTCCTTACCAGCGAATCCAATTCCGGCTGGACTTTGTCCGACTTGGATATTACGGACAAAAAATCGATATTTGGTCAGACATTGCAACCCATTTACGACAAGTCTATTGACTCGCATATCAGTTATATCAACTATAATGACGAAACTCCCGACGCAAAGACCACGAGTGGCGGCGCTCACGCCAAGGGTGTTGTCGGCACTGATAAAACACACGGATTTTGGCTCATTCATAGTGTGCCAAAGTTTCCCTCAAAAGAGGTATATTTTATCATAATTTTTTAGTATATTATTATTATATACTTTATATAGTCAACTCATACATATGAATATCCGGAAACCGGTAGCCTTTACGGACAGACAGCTCTGTGTATATCCATCAGTATCGACGAAGTGGACAAAGTTATTGAACAATTGTTATATATGCGGCCACATATCTATTCAATTAGGGTGTCGTCCCACTTGAAGTCAGTGTCCAAAAATATAGCGGCACTTGAAAATAATGATTGGGAAACGGGTGATCTAAATGTACGGTACATCCAGAGTACTGGTCGCATGAATTTTATTAGTTTTAGTAAGAGTCCCGGCGATCACGTTGATCTCTATGCCGATATAGTTGCACCGCATCTCAATACAAACCTATTTGTCGAAACCTGGCGTAAAGGTGTCGGCACACCATTGCCATCCGAGTGTAACCTGGATGAAATTGTCGAAAATGTCTATACAATTGGCTATAGGTTTGCCAATACTAAGCTTATGGGTGAATTCAATTATCTACACGATCACAGCAAATGGGCAATCAGTAAGATTTCGCATAAACCCTATGTATGTGTCGGTGATATGAATCGTATGAAAAGTCAGTTCAAAAGAGGCGGCGGAACCACTTGTTTCGAGTCGCCAAATGTCTGGAAGAATATGGACGACTGGGTCGTAGAAGTGGAAGAATGCAAATAGTTTTCATTGATTTTGAACTAAAACATAGTAAATATAATAAATTATTATTATATTAAACTTATTTTTAATAATTTAGTTAACATTTTTTTAAAAATGAAATTAAATAATAAATATTTATTATATAYTTTAATAAATATATAAAGTATATACCAATTTAGTAAATTTGATTTTTATATAATGGTATTTAAAAATAAATTTTAATTATAATCATTTTAATACTAATCATATTTTTCTATAATAATGCCAACAATTATTTTAGTCATATTAGTATTGATATTAGTTTTATTATTATCTATTACTTTAACCAACTTTTTTAATATATATAATAATCTAATGATTTATGAAACAAAATATATTAAAATAAATTATAATATTTTACTAAATTTTCTAACTTTAATTTTTTCTTTTATAAAACTTTCTAGTAATGTATAATATTTTAAGCATATATATATAACTTATTTTTTAAAACAATTATTGTACAAAAAATTTATAGTTATATAATGTTTATGTGTTAATAATTAATTACTGTTAATACATAAATATATATATAAATTATTATAAAACACAAATATATGTTTTTATTGTTGTAAATATTGTTTGATAAATTGATTGTCTGAAATAGTTTGAAATTTGAAAACAATAGTTTGTAATATATTATATATATATATATAGTATATACAATATATATATGCGAATGATTTTGAAATTAATGTTATTATATAATAATTAGTATTGTCAGCCAAGAGGCCGACAATTAGATAAAATGATGGTTTGGTTGAGAGATGATAATAACGATTACATATAGTGATTGGGTTGAGGGACAAAACTTTACTAAAGGGTGGAAAGGGATGTGATGTCAGTATGTGCGGTGTGTCTGTATGTATGAGTGTGTAATACTGTCGACATCTGGTCGACAATTCCCCGACCGCGAAGACAAGAGTCTATACGGCGCGGACGAATCGGGTGAACGTTTGCCAACTTGTACGGCCAAATGGACGGTCTATGAACGCATGAAACGAATTCATCCGCTGATGGATTGATGGGTGGCGTTGAGAATCGGTTCATAATGCGATGGCTTCGGTGTTGTTGCCTTGACTGATGGCGATATGTGACCAAACGATTTGATGACGTGAACGACATGTCGTTACGTTTACTATCGGGAGTCACACGTGAATGATGTGACGCGTTCAGATGCATCATCTGATTTGAACGACTTCTTGTCGTATATGTAAAAGTATGTTGTCGTCGACTTGGGGTGTTATTCATATACGACGTATAGAGCGATGGTGATAGCGAAACGATATTTGTTACGACGTTTACATCTTTGTCTACGTCTTGAGAGGTGGTGGCGGCGATTTCTCGTCCAATAGTGATAGTGTCTGTCGCCCGAAGGATGCCGAGGACAGTCGGTGTCACAATAGGACGATATGTTTCGGTTAGTGGTGTCGACTGAATCGCTTGTGAGTCTTCAGTGATAGCGATATCCTTATCGATGTTTGAATCGATTTTTGGTACGATTTGAACGCAAATCGTGATGTCTTTGTTTGTTGAGCTGTCCGATGACGAGCTTTCGGTGATAGTGTCCGTTGAATGACCGGCATCGCCGTCAGTGTGGTAACGAAGAGCCGAAGCGATGAGACGCTCCTTTTCGATGTCTTCGGTGGTGAGTAACGTGAATACGCGGTGCCACTCCTTTAATGAGTCTTTGGCTGCGCAGTGAATCAATGCCGTCAGTGGTAAGCTGTTGTCATTTCGTTATTACGAGCGACCGATTTGTGCGGTAAAACTGAACCGTCGGTTGTGCGAAACCGTGAGACCCGTGCTGCGAAGGTCTGATTGTGTTGGCCGCTTACGTCTTCGTCCGCGCTGTCTTCGGTGTTTGTCCTGTTGATAACGTTGCGGTTGACACGTTGTCTGCGAAGTGAGGCCCGTATGCGCTCAGCACGTGTTGGGCACATCGTACTGTATCTGTGCGGCATTTTCGACGATTCACGATTTTTGTCGATGAAATCAACTACAATAATGCGTTATCCTACCGACTGCGCCAATAATGTCAGCCAAGAGGCCGACAATTAGATGAAAAGATGGTTTGATTGTATGATAATTATAACGATTACATGTAGTGATTGGGTTGAGGGACAAAACGTTACTAAAAGGTGGAAAGGGATGTGATGTCAGTATGTGCGGTGTGTCTGTATGTATGAGTGTGTAATACTGTCGACATCTGGTCGACAGTATAATAATAATATCATAATTTATAGATTAGAAACTGTTAACAGTATCGATAATATTATTTAAACTATCATTTTTTAGCAATAAGTTTTAAAATTATTTTTTAATTTAATTATAAATTAACTTTAATTATATTATAACTATTTTCAAGCAATAATCAAGTGGTGAAATTTTTTAAAAATTTTATTCAATTACTAATTATTATTAAAATATGAAAAACAACAAATATGTTGTAATAGAAATTAATTAAATACATAAATTTAATTATTTAATAAAATTGACTTTATTTATTATTACTAATTATAAAAATATAGATTTTTATATTTTATTTTGATATTTAAAATATATTAATTATTTATAATATAATATCTTATAAAAAAGTTAGATAATTATGAAATTATTTTACATTCATAAACATATTTCTATAGAAATAATAAATTATGAAAATTGTCACTAAAATACATCTAAAAATTTATTTACTTTCAATTAATAGTATTGTATTTTCGATAAAATTATTGATTACTATTTTAGAGAAACATATTTTTTGTTGTTATAATTTATGCATTTGATCGACAATTGATTAATATATATTAAAACAAGCAATTTATTTAACAAAAATTAATATACAAAAAAATATCAAACGTTGGCTATCAGTGGTTGGCTATAAACTGTCGCGACTTACTATTTAGAACTATTGTTTTATTATAAACAATTGATAAAATAGATATACAGCGAAAAATTGAAACAATGAAATAAAATTCAATTATAATATTAAATGAATCAAAAAATATTAATTTATATTTAAAAACTACAAATAGTTATTAATGTCTAACTAAATATAAAATAAATCATTAATAAAAGTTATAAAAGTGTATTAATGGTCTGCTTTACTAATATTGATAAATAAAATATTGAGTTAATATTTGGTGATCACTAAAGAAGCGAATCAAATAAGAGATAAATTTGTTTAATAAAATTATCATTTAATTTATTTTATTAATTAATAATATATTAATATTTGTGTTTTTTATTTCAACATATTTTAATGATTTTTTTGCATTGAGTTATAGTTTTTATTCATTTTTTATAAAATACAATAATTCCCGACAGTAGGTCTCACCAATTTATACGAGTGTTTGCCAACGTTTGGTACGTATAGAAATTACATTAAATATTAATTTTTAAAATATAATTCATATMTCTTAACAAAGTAYTAAACAAATGCTTGAAGTAATTAATAAAAAATTATTACATAAAATATTAATATTATTTTTTAAAAATATAGAATATTATGAAATTTTACAAATATTTATACTATTAATTATCAATTGACAATTGATTTATGAATTCAAATCTTTATATTAGACTTCAATGTATTAAATTTATAAAACTAAATCTAAATAAATCGTATAATTAGATTAGATTTTTCTGACAATATATATTTGACTAAGAATATAGTTAACTATAAACTTAGTATATAAATATATATATATTAATTATACAGTAGTTATTTATTTTTTAAATAAATAGTCCATTAACAATAACTAGATTACTAGAAAAATGTATAAATTTAACTATACTTTARCTATTGTTTAAATACTCTATCATTATTAGTATTATTTTCTTAAAATTCGTGGTCCGGAAAATGTGGAGAAAAAAAGAGAAAATCTTTTTAAACGGAATGTATCCGATAGTTATGATATAAAACGAATTAATGGTCGACACGTCTATATAGTTTAGACATTGTTGTGACATAATTAAAATTGTCAGTAGAACGATGATAATTTCAATATTTGGCAGTAGTCTAATTAGTGATAAAAAGGGTATTAATGGTCTCATACTGTTTTACTAATATTGATAATTTTTTAGTTAGTATTTGGTGATCATAAAAGAAGCGAATCAAATAAGAGAAAAGTCTTTAAAAAAAATATAGCTGAAGTAAATTGTCTATATTCTAATGATTTAAATTAAATATGTCGATATACCAGATCTCTCTCTCTCTCTCTCTCTCTATACATTGTATACAATTTAATATAACAAGTATTGTGATATTGCTTTACTACAATTAGACAGTCCGTTTGATTCTATACGATATAATAAATACGATAAATAATTTTTAAAAATAAGAATTTTAAAAATACTGTCAACAATAATATCAATAACTAAATATTATAAATGTATTACGTATTACTCTCATGGGTGGTCATAATGCCCAGTCTCAGCCATTACTACTGTACTCGCACTACACGTGCTCTCATTTATCATATTTTTACCGATATTTTAACCATTGTTTTAATTCACATTAAATTACAATAAAATGTTTCACTTATAGCTTTGTTAAACTTCATTATCATTGTTGTCAAACCTCAAGAGTTCTACCAATTATTATACCGATTAGTATCGCCAACGCTTACCGATTGATAACTACTTACCGATAGTATTATCACTACCTGATTGTCGTGTGCAAGGATTTGGATCATCAATTGGCCACCACTTGGTTATCACAGCTGCACAGTGATCACACATATCATCTGAGAAGTCCTCTAAAGACCTATTGGGTGATCTCACTCCGTGTATCAGTAATTAACAGTCTAGTATTGATCTCATACCGACCCACGCTGCATACCTGACCGGTTAATTAGTACCGAGTATTGATTTACCGATAGTTAATTACCGGTATACAACAACAATAGGCACAGTCAGCAGGATTATCATTGGATCCCAGACCATGTCACAACAACTTATTATCTAATTTGCGTTTTTTTCCGTCAATTTTTTAACCTGCTTATTTACTAAACAATGTCAATTTTCATGTCCCTTACCCGCTCACTCATTCGCATACTTTCTCTATAATGTACTATTTAATTAACCTGGTCAGTTTTTTATAATTATAATTTGATGATTCCATGCTATTCACTTCAGTTCCAAATTGGAACTTCCAATGATAGACTTGTTTACCCCACTATTCGTTATTGTTGTCAAAGCATTTGTGTCTTATCTATACTCTATTTAATGATATTTTATCAATTGAAATGATACCACAATTAATGTATTTATCAGACAAATGGATGATTAATGGGAATGTGAAAAAAACAAGTTTTAAAAAAACCAAAAATTTTTTCATTTAAAAACACAAGTTTATTATAAATGATTTTTGTTATAACAAATAATTACAGTTTTTTATAAATATTAAAGTGTATGGGAGAGTATGATTTTTTTTGTTTTTTTATTTATATATATGTAAAGTATACCGAAAATTAAAACTATATATACAATTAATACATTTATTTTTAAATGCATTTATAATTGAAAACTTACAGTAAATATATTTATACTGTATTTTATTACACATATTTTATACCTATACTTATACACAAAATCTATTATCAATTGTTAAACACAATACACAAAAATTGGAAATACATATTTGATAATTGATACAAAAGTACCGATAAAAGTACTAAAATTTAAATATAACTTCACTTTCAATATTTACAATATATTTAACATTATCTTAACTTTTCAAATATTTTAATTATTATATTTGACTTGAATTTTGTATCCCAAATATGGGTCACCAGTAATGTAGGTATCCTTGAGTCCCACCATAAATAGGGAGACTCACTGGACATACCTCACGGTGTCATATGAGAGCACATACAGTATATTTGTGCCAAAACTTATATTATAATAATATTAATACTGTATTTGAAAAAATGTTTTATTAATGAATTAAATAAAGTTTGATTTTTATATTACAACTATACGACTGCCAATTGATTTAAATAGTTTTTATAAATTAAAAATTAATATTATATTATAATAGTTTTTAAAATCCATAATTATCCTACATATATAATTTAAATTATAATTAAAATATATTTTTTAATTATATATTATTTTTCTAAAACAACTTATATTGACCACTTGACCACTGGTCAGTTATGATAAAAATTATTTAAAAATAATTAAAAAGTATTTATATTATATAATTATTAGATTTTATCATTGAATTTAATTTTATTGACCACTAGTTACCAATTGTCATATTTAGTCAATATTAACAGAAAATTTTTTTATCAAAATATTATAATTATTTATTATTATAAATAATTTAAAAACTACTTTTAATAAATGTTGACCAGTTGTCAAAATTGGTAAATATAATTAAATTCAATGATAAAATCTAATTATTTAAATAATATAAATGCCTTATAATTACTTAAAAATTATTAAAAATACATTGAGATAATATATAATATACATAAATACTGTCCATTAAAAAAATTCGACTTTAATGTCGAATATCTCGAATTGCTGAGTTCGGACAGATATGTGAATGATATTGGGATACTCAGGGATGTCTGGGCTATCATCACTTATCTGGATTTTTTAGGATCTTATTGGTCTCTTCGAAACCGACCAGTCATTCAATTCAACCGAACGAATCAAATTTGTAGTCTTTTATAAGATATTATGATTATTATTATTATCTCAATTAATATTGATTTAAATGTTTAAAAAATTATTATGTTTTCCTCATTATTATTATATTTATTTAGTATAGCAATCAAATTGTTTTAACATTTATATTATTAATTACCTATTGATTGAATTGCATCTCAAATAAGAATTTAATGTTTTTATTAAGAATTGATTTTTATTTGTATTTATATACAGACGGCTGAGTTTATGTATATTTGACGACCCGATCACTATTGTGTCGGTATTTGTTTGTTATATTTAACAACATTTTAGATATACATTTAACCGACACCTCCTCCAGTCGACTGGTTAGTGACGCCAACAACTCCAAGCATAGTCATGAAGTGCCGGATCACATACGGGATCACTTGGCTGAGTGCCCGGTTCACGGGCTGTAGTGTTGAACGATACCAACTGATGCCACAATTGATCCACAACTTTGGGGTAGATTTGGGCCAAATTGTTGTATTCGCACGGATCGGCTGTTATATTGAAGAGACAGTGTTCAACATCCGGCCGACAGTTTACCGATGCGTTTGTCGGTTTTGGTCCGCAGTCTATGTTAACGTTTTCGGTCAACACTTTATAGTCGACAAATCTGTTGAACTGTCGTAACACACGATTCGCTGCACATTCGCTTCGATGTCTACGTTGTTGTCTCAACAATGGTGTGATCAATGAGTTGTTGTCCGCACCGATGTTTGTGTCAATTTGATGACCAAACGGTGGATACCATTGCGACCAATTGCCAAACACCAGTCCCTGAATCAGTTTCCAATCGCCCGATCGAATGGCCGAAACATTCCAAATGGGATCCACATTGTGGACAATTGCCGAACGACCCGATGTCTGGTTCAGCGATAGTGTAGACCATTGAGACACACCTTAATTTTACAGGTCAGACATCAAACTTAAATAATAAACTGTATTTTTGTGTGTGATTACCATAAATAGGATATTTTTTCGTTAGTTTATATCGATTGTGTTGGTCGGCACCGATAGCTTCGAGAACAGTAGGCATCAGGTCTGTCACGTGAATCAGTGCATCGGATGTATAACCAGTTTTGTTCAACAGTGGACTCCATATAAACGCCGGAACTCTTATGCCTAATCGTCATAAAAAATATTACAAATAGCATTATCTTAAAAAATTTTGACTACAAGTGCTATATAATAGACAATATTTATAAAACATTGTCATAAACTATGTATACCTCCCTCCCAGAGCGTCGCTTTGACACCTCTGAGTGGCCAATTTGAGGCGGCATTACCTAAAAAATATATCTATACAGGTATTTAAAGTATACAGTTTTTAATGCCAAACCTGTAAAACCACTGGCGGGCCCCCCGTTGTCACTGACAAATACTATGACGCTGTTGGTGAGCATATGTTGCTGTTTTAGGGCGTCCACCAAAATGCCGATCGATTCGTCCATTGCATAAGTCATGGCCGCAAAAACTCGTCGATCGGCTGATTTGATATACGAAAACTTATCGATATAGCGTTGAGGCGCCTGTAGTCTAGCGTACGAATTGGCCCCGTGAACGGCCTGATAGGCCATATAGAGAAACAGTGGTCGCGACTGATTGTGCTCTCGTATTACTTGGACAGCCCTATCTGTGAAATAGTGAGTCGAGTAGACACCGGTAGCATTGGTTATGAGATCCATGTTGTGTCTGAAGTCTAGTCCCCAGTAATAACTGTTCTCAAGTGCCGTGTGATCAAAGTAGTCGCCACTACCCGACCAATAGCCCACATGCGAGTCAAAGCCCCGATAGGTCGGTGTGTACTCTCGTTTAAAAAATCCTAAATGCCATTTACCTAACAATTATGTGATTTAATTAATATTATAAATAACTATAAAATTTTATAATAATTTTTTTAAATAACTATAATTACCTTAGATTAATGATTTTACAATAATTATTATTTATTGTTAAAACAACAAAAATATAAAAAAATTGTTTTAATTAATTAAGTCTATTATTATTATTATTATAAATGAAAATATAGTTTGTTACTACAATATTATTTTTATTAATCAAATGTTTTTTGTTTATCTATTAGAAAATAAAAATAAATAATTAATATATTTTTTCTGTGTTTAAAATCCGGAATTTGAACTAAAGTGAACACAAAAACACAGTATTTATTATTTTTATGATATAATAACTTATTATTATTATTATTAAATGTCAGAAAAAAACAACAAAAGCAGATAAAATATATATTTAAATAATGTTTTTTAAAAAATCTAAAATCAAAAATGATGATAGCATTTGATAGGATCGACAATCAGATAATATTATATCAGATAAACTTATAATAATATGATATATTAATAAATTTATAACAATAAAAAAATAAAAATATATAAATAAAAAAAATAATCCATTATATTTAATTGACTAACTATGAAAATTGTTTTTATCAAAATTTAATTTAGATTTTATTGATAATTATTAATAATATCTAAAATTATTAATATTAATAATTAATATCTGCTAAACAGTACAAACCAATTGCATGGGTGTTATATCCATAATCTTTGAGATATTCGGGCAATGTCTTGATATCTAATGGCAGACCCCACGGGGCGGCTGTCAATATGACATAGTTTTGTAGGCCACTGTGTACTGGATGTACGCCAGTAAGTAGCGCACCCCTACTCGGACTACACACCGGTGACGTATAGTATCGGTTGAGTACAATACCGTCGGCGGCCAATGTATCGATATTGGGCGTCAATATCTGATCGGATCGGTAGCCGACATCACCCCAACCGAGATCATCGGCTACCAGTAGTATCACATTTGGCCGATTAGTAGTAGTACTGTACCCACCTATCGACACATATATTGTTATTATAACAAAATAAAATAAACAATTATCGAAATATTTGGATGACATTTAAATTACAACTGAAAACAATTATCTTATTTATAAAAACATTGAATTTTTCAAAATACGTGTTTATGTGTCTGTATATCAGTTATACTGTACTTTATTTGTAATTTATTGAGAAATTTTTATAATCAGTTTATTGACATTAATTAATGTTTAAAATGACATGTATTTTGATGTCATCTCTAAGATAGTAAGTAAATGGGCGGGTGAGTGAGTGAGTGAGTGAGTGAGAGAAAAATTGATATTATCATATGACTTGACTTTGATTTTGGCGATATATAATATATATATACTTTATGTGTGATTACACTGTGTGTATGTATATATGTTTAAGTAATTTAAAGAAAAAAATGTAAATTAATTATAATTATTAATAAAATTTCTCTTTTAAAGTGAAAACTATATGAGAAAGTGTTGACGAAAATTAATTTATTGGGAATTATTTGTGACATTAATTTGATTTTGAATATTCACACAAAAATCATTCATTAAAATCTGTATTTTTGTGTGAATTCTTATGTAATAATGAACTAAATTAATTATTATTTCAATATTTTATTTTTACATTTTCACAGCAATTATCAGAAAAAACAACGTTTATGTTTGAAGCATAAAAAACTCAAAAAATTTTCAAATTAAAAAAAAACTAAAATAAATTATATTTATAAAAAAATCTAAACATTTTACAAGTAATATAAATTGTATTTTTTTGTATTTATATATTATAATTTCTATACAGTATTAATTCGGTTTAAAAAAAATCTTAATATATATATATATTTTTTATATACCATATATATAATATAGTATAGTATAGGTATTGTATTGAAAATGAAAGTCAAAATTGCAATTTATTTATTCGCTCCAAATATGATATATAAAATAAATGTCTGAAATACTATATTATTGTATTATTTATTTTAGTGATGTGAATGTTTAGATCATTATATTTTAATACAATAATTGTTTGTCTATCTATCCATATATGACATTATTATTATTGTTGTTGTTATTTGATGTTTGATAACCGGGTCGTCAGTCAGCCACTTGACGGTGTCAATCATATACATAGTTTGTTTAGCAATTATTACAGTAAAAAAATAATAATTTGAAAAAAACGAGATTACAATTTAGTTTAGACTTTTTTTCTTTAAAAAAAACAGTGCACTTCAAAGTCATAGCTATTATGTTAATAATACAAAACTTTTGAAAAAAATTAATTTTATTTGCCAAACAATTTTTGTTTACTATTATATTTCGTATGTGTATTACTGTATTATATAATTATAAATGTAATCCAGTCAAGGATCGGCTTATTTTTWWWAAAAATGTATTGTTAGTAAATTAACAATAATTTGCCGCCAATTAAAACAAATTGTTTAAAATTGTTTACACGTGAAACACATATACAATACAGTTAAATAAGGTATACAAACATTATAAAAAAAAATTTTGTTGGTATAAACTTAATAATAGTCTAATCATTTAATTCAATAAACTTTTACTAAATGTCTCATAAAATTATTAATAAAAAGTTTTCCTCAAATATATACTGTTTATTATAATATATTTACATTAAATGTCAAACAAAATCAAAATGCAAATATATTTGCAAATTAATAATGATCTCAATTTTATAAGTAAAAAAATTATTCGATTTTTGTTTGTTTGTTCAAATATTTACAATAATGATTATATGCATTGAAAATGCATTACAGTTTGCTCTAAATTTTATTAATGTAAAGTTATAAATTATTTTGGGAGTAAATCTTAATCATAAAAACATTTAATTATTATAATCTTTATATATGAAAAAAGTTAAGTGAAATTGAAATTATTTTATTGTTTAACATTTAAAATATATTGAAAAATAAAATGTTTACTAATTGAATACCAGTAATCTTATTAATGTTTTTAATTAAACATTTCGTAAAAACATTAATTATTTTTATTTATAAAATTAAATTATGGAAAATTGTATTAGTTTAACTAAAATATATTGTATTTAAGTATCAATTATTTTATAATGAAATGGTAATATTTTTTTATTACTGAATAACATAATTTTATTAACTATAATACTGTATTATATATACAGTAAAATAATTATAATATAATGATTATTTTTATTGACTATTAAAAAAAAGTAACTAAACTTTTAATTTTAATTTTTTTAATTAGTTAGTAATAGAAATATACTTTTATAATAAAACAATAATTATTATGTAATTTTTCTAATTAACCAAAACTGAATTTATTTATTTACTTATTAAAAATACTGTTATTTATTTTAAAAATTATCACACTTTTGATTTGATAATAGTTATCAAAATATAAATATATATAAATATATCACTTTATTTATATTTTTATGCAAAATATTATATATATTTAAAAATTTTATTTATGTTTTTTTTTAGATAACAACGTACAGTATATAACATAATAAATTATATTTATGTAAATTATATACCGGTATATATAAATATTTTGCAATAAATTTATGTCAATTTTTATTTATTTAGTCAAACTTATTATTTTTGTTATATTACTTGTTATGCAATAACGAGCTATGATTTTATTTAATTTATTCAATTTTATTATCATTATTATTTTGCTATTAAAAAACCATTGCTAACAAAATCAAAAACTCTTTTATTATTATTATTGAATATAATATTACTTAACAACCGTTACATATAAGGAAAAGAAATGATTGCATCGTTTTATTTGCCAATAAAATTCAAATTTTTTCATTTTATTAATTTTAATCCAATAATTGTTTAAATATATTTTATTTCTATTATATAAATTATGATATAATTTATTATAGGCATAAAAGTTAATCCATAATTAAAAATGTGATGAAGAAAAACACTGTTACGACTTTAGGTATGACCTAAATATTAGATTACATATACAGACAACAACAACAACAACAATAATAACAACAACAAAAAAATCCCTAAAACTAAAGGAAAATGTCAATTGAATAATGAATATAATAATAATTGTTTTAATAATATACTGTTATACTAATTATATGTGAATTTAATTGATCGCTATTTTACAAATTATATATAAAAAATATAATTATGAAAAAAAATCAAGTACTTTATAAAATAAATTCCTAATTAAAAATAATATAATTGAAATTTTTTTCTCATAATAAACTTTATTAATAAAACAATTATTATCTCAAAGTTGTGTACTGTAATAACATTGCCAACCAATGAAATAGTAAAATTGAATTTTTATAAAATTAATATTTTTTATTTAAATATTAATTTTTTGAATAAATTACAAACAATTTTTTATGGAAAATATTACACTTTTACTAAGATTTGAACAACAATTTGAAATAAAAAAAAACATTTTTAGTAGTATTTAAACTCATTTACAATATTAAAAAAAATTTAGTCTATTGTTTGATAAACTAGTATTTCAAAAAAATACAGGTATATCCCCGAAAAAACACATAAACTTCAACATCAATACCACTACCAACAGCAGCAGCACTGGCAAACCTACCCGAGCTTTTCGTCATCACATTAACARAGCTTTTTTATTGGCTTACCGTCTATTATTATTTTAAAAAAAGTTAGGTATATCAGAGCTCATGAGCGGCACAGGGAGAGGGGGAAAGTATGTATGTATTCAATGCACCGATTGACTGACTGACTGGTGCTTACAGTACATACATGTGTTGGTTGTTATTCTTGTAGGATGACTGGTCTCTGAGTAGTAGTAGTAGTAGTAGTAATATATGTGTGTTTTTTAAAAGAGGAGAGAGAACTGTTAGTTTTTGTAGGCATTTCCCAGACACACACACACATACACACAGTCAAACATAGACATATACAGCATCCTCCCAGTGCTCATATGGATTGTTATTGTTTTGTTGTGTTGATGTTTAAATAAAATATGAGATGAGATGACTGACTGATTAGCTATAACCTAACTAACTGTCTGTCTGTCTCTGGTTGTCTGTAATTTGAATAATATAATTGCAGTTTATATTTAGTGGTGACTATAAAATATAAACTAAAAAAACTTTGTCTAAAATTTCATGTCATTTGCATTTCAAGATATTTTTTACAAATATTTAAAAAAAAAATATATCAACTATTTTTATTTGTTTGTTTGTTTGCAAATTGCCATTAGTGTCTAAGTTTGGCATTAAATTATATAAATAACTGTAGTTATATATTATTGTAAACTTATAAATTATTATATGATATATTTAGTAAGTTTTTTATATTTGTATTTATTTGTGTAATAATAATAATAAGTGTAATAAGTTTGCAAATAATAATAATAATAATAAATTAATATTACTCTAGATTAAAGTGTTAATTTCTAAATATAAACTGTACTAGTTAACTTTGGTATTGTTAATTATTGATTTTATTGGTTATCAAGATAATATTAATATTTCTAAATCATCATATAAAATGGTAAGTTTTTGTTATTTTACTATTATTTTGATAWTAAAAACTAAATTTAATTTTATTTTTATGTAAATCAATAATTAGTAATCTACAAATTTATCATCTTAATTTGCATTAATTTAATTAAWTTTATTAAATTATATAAAAGTTTTAAAATAATAAACAAACAATGTTTAAAATAAAATTTGTTTTAATTATTATAAATGTTATTTAAAATTAAATTAAATTAGTTAATTAAAAAATTATATACTATATATTATTATCATTTTGTCAGTTTAATTAAATTATAATTATTTGAGATTTATTTTAAGGGTTAAACTAAATTATTTTTTCTTGGTTAGGAAAACCCTTAAAAATAGTTTTTTTTGTAGTTTTATATATTATATATACAATTTAAATATTTTTTGTATATATATAGTAGGCTTATTAACACGTTTTTCAAGTTATGCCTAATTTATATACATGTCAAATATATACTAGTATATGTATATAATATATTTTTTTATATGTAGAGTACATTAATATAAATAAAGTTTATTAAAATGTGGTTTT